ATTGTATGATGTAACTAAAACTTTACTGAAATAAAAGTAAAACATTTCCCTAATACATATTTTGATGTATTTTCTCTGAAAGTAAAATGTTTATGTTTCAAGTTTAGCGGAGCTCACTGTATTTGAGTTTTATTGAGCAATGTTTTTATGTTTCCAAATTCCACGATGTAGAAAATACAACTCGTCCACTGACCTTCCTATAATGTTTAAAAGAGATAATGAACCAAATCTGTTGCATTCCACCACCCCTTGAAAACGTGTTTAGCGACACAAAAAACCCTTTTAACAAAACTGTCATTGTAATTTATTTAAAGGAATTTTAGATGCGAACTTAAAGGGAGTGTTCGCGAAAAATGAAAGGGGGTATAGGCTTAATTCGATAAAAAGCGCTTTTGATCGCTACTATAATCTTACTTTTATCTGTTGCGTCTATAAGGAGAAAATTGTTTAAAACGACTAATATACCGAAGAACGTAGTGTTCATATTTTTCGACGCACGATGAGTAAAACATGATAAAAATACATGTTTAAAGCTAAATACTGCGTGAAGAAATGTGGAAAGTATTTGTGATGTCGTCTGTTTAGAAAAGCCAATTAATAGGCGGATAATTGTGGTTGACGTGCAGTAATTAAATGGTGGGTGGTCTATATCTGGAGTATACGGAATGCGTTTACAAAGAATTTAAAGAAAATGATTGAACCACTTCCATGGAGGATGGGCCATCAATGATAAATTACTGTACACTGTATACAGGTTGTCCAAAAAGTTTGAATAAGTATATTTTTAAACTACAATTTTGGTAATTCCGTAATCAGCCGGAGTTGCTTACCCCTGAACAATTTGACAGTTGCGCTTTTTTTGGATACCCTGTATCTCAGCGGTTGGAGCATTAGTAGCCGCAGCGAGGCTAATTTTATTCTGATGTATAATTAGATAAAAATATTCAAACCGAACCTTAGTTCAGATAATAAATCATGCATGAAGTTTCAGATAGTTCATGTAAGACGGACAAGACAGACAAGACAGACAAGACAGACAAGACAGACAAGACAGACAAGACAGACAAGACAGACAAGACAGACAAGACAGACAATATCAAAAATCAATTAAGGAGTTTTCTACATCACGAATAGAAAATTGTATATTTTACTTTTGTAAATTCTTTAATTTTGAAGAAAGATAAAATATTTTATAATAAATCTGAGATAGTACCATTGTATGATGTAAAACTATGACTCTTTATAGATAAATGTGCCTCACCTTATAGTTAGATGAATCCCTTGACTTGAAAAATAACAAATGGAAATAGTACAAACAAATTTTTTAACATTTTTCCAATTAGTGAGAAGAAATGGTTAGACTTGTGAGTTTTGATATTCTTTCCCAATTTAAAAATATTAAGTAGTAATCTTTGCTGCCGTTGTAACTTCAGAACCCCTTTCCGTTCTGCTTTACATTTTGATTGAGGCACTCGATATAACCACGGAAATGAGATTTAAAAATTCTAAGTTGAGTGGGTTTAATTTATGGAGAAAGTTAAGTATTCAAGAAAGTCTGGGTTCCCAAAGAGATTCAAAATGTTTATGCATGATGTCAAGGCATTATTCATGTTTTATTGATTATACATTTTTGTTTTTAGGGATAAGGCCAGAAGATGTATATTTTACTGGCAGTTGTCTGCTTTCTCTCATGTACTGTTGTACACGCTGAGCACTCATGTACGGCAATAGGTAATGAATTATAAGATGACCTCTTTGCAACTATATAGCAGATTTTATAGTATGCAATATGCATATATACACATTACAAATACACACTTTAAATTACAGAAGTTAAGTACATTATGCAGATAAAGATGCAAGTGTAACATTCAAGTACATTCCTCATATATATTTTTAGTGTGCAGTATTTAACACACCAATTTTTCATTGTAAACAGACCCATTTAACTTGATTAGTCATATTTATTATTTAATATGTTACTAAACAGCATTACATACACTTAAGTATTGCTATGATGTCGTCTCCCTATTTCATAGTTTTCTGGTTGATCACTGTACTTATTTACTTATTGCAGGATACTACCCTGACCCTGCTGACTGCAGTACGTTCTACCGTTGTACAGATATCTGGGGAAACGGTCTATACCAACAGTACACGTTCATGTGCCCGGCCGGTACGGTCTTCGATGACATTCTGGATGTTTGCAACTGGCCTTGGGCTGTTCCTGGATGTGGAACAACTCCCCCGCTTGTAACTTCAACCCAACCACCACCAACAGCAGCTCCTGCAACAACAGTAGCAGTTACAGATGCTCCAGTAGAAGAAGAAGAAGCTGTTGAAGGCGAAAAAGAAGTTATTGAAGAAGTCACGACAGATGTTTCTGTAGATTCTGCAGAAACTGAAGCACCCTACACACCAAGGTATGAATATCAGGCCTCCCTCTATGAAAACTAATACTAATTACGATAAAGTTAAGTATTATTGCTTGTCTAAGTGTCTGTTTGTCTGTCCGTTTGTATGTAATAAACGTTAAAACGGCTGAACCCAGGCCAAAATCACAGTCACGTGACCCCATGGGAAGGTTTATGGGTGCTCAAAGTTACAAAAAATTGTGTCCAAAAGTTTTTGATTTTTGTTAAATTTTGAAAATGCGCGAAAAAAAGATTTCGCGAAGTTTTTTTTGTTATCTATTTATATTTTGCTTGTTTGTCCGTTTGCATCAAATAAACGTCAAAACGGATGAACCGATCGGGCCCAACATTTTGTAGGACCTCGCTTGACCCCAGGGAAGGTTAATGGATGATCGAATTTATAAAAATTTGCCTCTAACAAAATTCGATTTTTGAAAACCCACGAAATTTTTTCATAAATCCGCGAAATATTTTGTTTTTGTTTTACACAAAGAGAACATGTTCACAATTGAAATAGAAGATGGGCGCGAAGTGCCCTAAAAACCTGGTTGTTTTATATTGTACAAAGGGAAGATGGTCACAAATAGAATCAAAATTAATAGTTAAAATAGAAGATGGGCCCTACTCGCCCCAAAAGCCTATTGTTTAAAAAAATTTTTTTAAAAGTTTTGAAATACTGAGAAAGTACACTATACTGTTAACATTGGAAATTAACTTTTTTCTAATAGATTTTAGCAATTTTTTAAATTATGTTAACAAGGAAGGATTTTTTTATTAAATTTTAAATACGTATTTTTGTGGTCTGTGAGCTGTTTTTTTACCAATCAAAGACTAACTACTGTATTTAAAGTTTCCACTGGAGATTTTGATTCCAAATTTAGCTCTATTATTTACTTAGTGACGCTATGCCTTGTTAATTCTACTTCTGTAATACTTGATTGATTTGTTTCAGTGCTGGAAGCGCATATGACTGCAAAATGCCGGGAGTTGTTAGTAACGACGCGGACTGTCAAAAATTCTGGCTTTGTAAAGAAAACCCAGAAGGTTCCAGAATTCTCGAGGTAAGTGTAATCTATAAAGAATAAAGATATTAAATAAATCTTCCCAGCTGCTTTGCCTGATGTACCATTAGCCAATTGGAAATAAGTTACGGCTTCCCAAAATTAATTTTTGTTGCATAATATTAAAAATGATGGAGAAATGAATGATCTGCAGACAAGAATTTTAATTTATTGGTATTAAGTAATAATCCTTAAAATATGGAAAGTTCAAAATTTAAAAAGTTTGGCATCGGGTTTGAACAATTTTAAAAAAAATTTTCATTAATGCGTTATATAATTTCACATTGCTTACTCAGCTTTACTCAGCAAACTTTTAAAAACTTTTTAATATATTTCAAACATTACAATAGCAAACAAAACGTCTGTGACAGGAAAAGAAAAATCTGAATAAATTCTTGAAAGAATGACAAAAATTTAAATAGTTGGAGAGAAAGATAAAAGAAGAAAAGAAATTGCATAGTCTAAAGCATGATTTGATGCGAATAGGTGAAACTTCGCAGTTCATTGTTCAAATAGTCTTTAGACAGGGACTACTTAGATCTTATTCTATAGTTCATGGATTTGAGCAAGGTACTAATGCAAGGAAAGTTATTTTAGAGGTATACGCATTTTTTGTACTGCAGTGTACTGTCTTTTGGCGGAAAAGTAAACACAAGACGGATGTCAAGGCCTGACATGGAATCCATTTTCACAAAAATAATCTATGAAATATTCTGGTCATATGAAACTATTATCTGAATTTTCAAAATTATCAAAATTAAATTCTTTTATCTTCCTCGGATACTAAACGAACACTGATTAATCTATTCTTGTTTCAATATGTACGCGAGTATACGCGACCGCAATTAACTTTCCTTGCATTAATACCTTGGATTTGAGTAATTAGGTTACACTCATTCATTGATTTTATTCTTTAGTCCATGATTTATAGAATTATTAATTCAAGGGACTACTTCTCATTCTGTATTCCATGGATTCATTTAATCTTTATTTAACCTTTGTTCCGATGTTTAAATAGTTTGGGGACTAATACTTCTTCTTCTTTAGTCCATGAATTTGAGTTAGTAGGTGAAACTCCTTGATCCATTGTTTTTATTCATTAGTCCATGGATCCATGAACTCCTTAGTCCATTTATTTTAATATTCGACGGTCTACTTCTTATTCCTGGTTGTGTGTGACTATGTGAGTAGGAGTTAGAAAACATCAAATATGTAGATTGAGTTTCAGATTTATCAATTATATCGAGAAAAACAGGCTTTCTGTTAACCACTAGATGTTCAAGTGATGCTGCTTATATAGAGTTGTGCCCGAAATTTGTTGACTTGAAATAGGGGGCGGGGATGAGTAAAACATGATAAAAATACATGTTTAAAGCTAAATACTGCGTGAAGAAATGTGGAAAGTATTTGTGATGTCGTCTGTTTAGAAAAGCCAATTAATAGGCGGATAATTGTGGTTGACGTGCAGTAATTAAATGGTTAGACTTTTAGGATTGCTAGCAACTATGTTTATAAAACAATGACAAAAATCGTAAATAAAGGATGGAATTTTCCTTGATCATGTTTTAAAACAGGTCTTTTGATTTTTCTCAAATCGTCAGTTTTTTTCACCGCTTTAGTTCTGGACACATTGGAACAAATAAAGATAGAAATCATTCATCACATTTTTACTTAGAAATCAAGTGCACTGCAGTTGTTAAAACGATCTCAACGCTTGAGAGGACTTGGGACTAGGGACTATGGACTATGGACTAGGGAATAGGGACCAGGGACTAGGTACCAGGGACTAGGGACTAGGGACCAGGGATTAGGTACAGGGAACTAGGGACTAGGGAATAGTTACCAGGGACTAGGTACCAGGGACTAGGGACCAGGGACTAGGTACCGGGAACTAGGGACTAGGGACTAGGGAATAGAGACTAGGGACTAGGTACCAGGGAAACAAACGTTTTACAGTTTGAAATAAAGTTGTCCAGGGCTACAAAAAGGATAAGTTGGTTAGTAAAATCAAACACATGGAAATGGCCAGGCAAAACTTCCACAGCGGCCCGGTCAAAAAGTTCTCTATTTCATAGATGTTTGGACCGCCGTGAAGATGCATGGGTGTAGTGTAATTAAAACAAACAAAGTCACCTAGCCCATTTAATCCCCCCCCCCCTCTCCCCTGGTACATCAGGTTTTATTATCTTCTATATTATCTTCTATGCATCCTTTTGTGTGCTCCAAATTGGGTTGGATGACAATTCTCCCTGGTTTTCAATCTATTCCATCTAATAGAGGGTTAAAAGGGACCAGTTAAAGAGTGATATGTCCGATTTACAATGGTACCCTCACGAACTATGTAATGTCAAGATTGAATATATAGATATTAATATTTCCTACTTGAAAATTGATTGTTTTTATTTCAATTCTTCAAAACTGATTGGTGGATTCTGCTGAAGAAACAATGGAGGACATGGTCAAAATTAAACGCTTTTTAAACTAGAAAAAGTCACTATATTCCATATTTATAATAATAATATAAACGTTTGAAGGGTGCTGTTGTGAATGAAAAAGGATAACTGGAAATTTCAACAAATCCTCTAAAGACAATTTAAAGTGTCTCAAGGATCCAATTAATTTTTAATTATTCTTAATTTCGATGTTTAAAAAGTCTGGTGACTACTTCTTCTTCAGAGAAAATCATAAATTTCTTCTCTAGGTCTAATCTTGATATAAAACCATTCCTTGTTGAAGTCATGTGTATTTTTCAAGTATTTCTATAAAATATTACCTCATTTTTACTGTAGAAAAGTTTGGTAATGAATTTCGCAGATTCCAGAACCTTTTAACGTTTTTGTAATCGAACATTTAAAATAAAATTTTAAAAATCTGTGTTTATCAGGGGGCGGAAACGTCATGTTTGTGTGTCTGTACCAAAAGAGTCTGTGTTAGGTTACCGTACTGGTCTGCAAAGTAGTGCGACCGGTTTTCTCATGCCAGACTAGCGCCATTTCTTTTCCCTTTATTCCTATTCCCTGGTGTTTATAAGCCTATATAGGATAGAAAAGCCTAAATTATACTTGAACTGAATTATTTGATACAGATTTGACAAGATAAAATGATTGGAAAAGATTTTATCAGTGAAGCATTTCTGAATTGATGTAACACATGGTCTTGTACAATATGCAAAACATGGCATCGATTAGGAATTGTTGTGGGTTAAAATAAGGTTCGGTTCCTATCAGATCTAAGACATAGATACAAAAAAAAAATTTTAAAGGGACTGTACAGTGTGCACTCCTTTTTATGGGACCCTCATTTTAAGCGTTAGAATCTCTATCATAAGCTTAGGTAAGGTTACTTGATAAAAACTATAAATTACTGAGTTTTGCAGATTAATGTATGTTGCTTCGTGCATTTCCAATTCTACAATTGGAAGCAAGACGACATCTAGTTATCTAAACCATCTTGTTTGTCCAGATCTATATACTCAGCCATCAATGGTTTTTATTGATTGTCAGGTGTCAGACTTACATATTTAAATTTGGCATCCTTTCTTTAGAAACATGGGAGGGTCTATTTACAGGGTGTCCAACAAATTTGTATAACCTTCATAAAAGTTCAAAATGTCTTCAAGCCTTTTTATCACTTTTATCTTAAAGAAATCTCGTTCCGATAAAAAAATTAAAACAAAGGTAGAAATGCGCACTTTGACAATTTTAAATCTTTATATCTAGGGTTCAAGGAGATTCGGTTCTTATCCCAGCCTGCTGGGACATTGTATCACAATTTAACCTATTTAAAATAAATTTTCAATATTTTTCTTTTATACTTTTTTGTCGTTGGATGAGTTTTGAGTTAAAAAGTAGATTCTGTAATTTTAAATATTGTAAACTATAAATCAAAACTAAAAATCAAAACTAAAAATCAAAACTAAAAAATCAAAACTATAAATCAAAACTACAAATCAAAACTAAAAATCAAAACTATAAATCAAAACTATAAATCAAAACTAAAGATCAAAACTAAAAATCAAAACTATACATCAAAACTATAAATCAAAACTATAGATCAAAACTAAAAATCAAAACTATAGAAATCAAAACTAAAAATCAAAACTAAAAATCAAAACTAAAAATCAAAACTACACATCAAAGCTAAAAATCAAAACTAAAAATCAAAACTATAAATCAAAACGCGAATGGCAACGTTAAACAAAGGGCTGATACCCAAAGGCACTTCAAAGTCGGCCCGGTCACATACTTCTATTCCAAATTCTATTTTGTTTGTAAACCCTGCATATACATTCCAATTTGGAGACTCAGTTGGAGTCCGGGCATTATTAATTTATATAGTTTAGGGTGTGCCGACTTTTACGATTCACATTAAACCTGAGCTGTTTTCTAATCGGAATGCAGGAGTATAACTTCTAAAATGTCAATAAATATAGACGGCACTTTCCCCACCCCCCTTCACGCTGATTTAACAGTTCGTTACTTGTCCCAATCCAAGTACATGTTTTTAAAATAAAATTCTTTATGACAATTGAAATATATCAATATATCATGATTGTACCAAAAGATTTCCAATTCTTCAGTTGTAAACTTAATTTATATCTTTGCCAGATAACTGAGGAAAGCAGGTTTAACCTTTTTACTGATGGTTGTTTAAGTGATTGTTTACACATTTGGGCATGGTTGGAGCTACTAAAGTATATCTTAATAAAAGGCATATCGTGGATTCAACTGTTTCTGGTACATTGTGAAGATACAATATAAGATTCAAATATGATTTTCATTATTCCCAAACTGCAAAGCATCGAATAAAATTTGGTTCATTTGCAATGAAATATATTCAACAATGAAAGTTATTCAGTTTTGAAGACCGCGTAAAAAATTTAAAGTGTCGCAACGACTTTGGTTTGGTTTAACTCAATAACTAGCTTATACTTTATTGTATAGCCTTGGACATGTATAATTGAAAACTTCAAATAACTTGTTTCTAGCTTTCTTTTGAAAGCAGTTATTGGTAAAATCCTGTTCGATTTTTTATTAAAAGCATTGCATATTTTGGTTTGTAGTGTTTGCCTCTGGTAAGTTGCTATAAAATAGTATCTCAAATCCCTCCCCCCCTCCCACTGTAATATATTCCAATTAGGTTTCTAGTTTCGTGATGAAAGAATGTTGTGTACACTGTAACCCTATCATATTGTAGATTTAACAAGATATTCAACTTTTAATCAGGTTTTTAACTCCCGTCGATATCTTGGCTTTATGTTAGATTTGTAAAAAGTCGTATGTCCAATTTACAAAGGTATCCTTAACTAGCCTAGTTTTAAATTCACAGAGATAAATTCTTCAAATTTCCATCTTTGTTTCTACTGCATATGTCTTATAGTTACTTGGTAGAGAAAATAGTACAGAACAATTTCAAATTATTGATAATTATATTTCAACTTTCAATTATCTTTTAGACTTAATATATGACTTTAAATAGTCCAATATTCATGGAATACAGCAATGGTTCAGTGTAAACAAACCCATTTCACTTTATTTGTGATTTAATAAGTGACTAGTAAAACTATTTGCTCTGTAACATCATCAAATACACTTAAGTATTGCTATAAAGTCGTCTTCCTAGTTCAGAGTTTTCTCGTTATCACTGTACATAAAATTTATATAAAAATTATTATATGACAAATTTAAAATGTGTCAAAAATTTCTATAATACTTTAAATTAATCCTCCGAAAATACATAGGAGTTTTTGTTACATTTTAATTTTTTAATCCTTAAATCCGAAACAAACGAAATTTTTTTTTCAAAACATCGCTAATTTTTACTCACCCTGTATATCTAATTTATTAAAGTCCCTGCTGTATCGGTGTCCTGAGGGTTACTTGTTCTCTTCTGCTAGCCTGCGCTGCGCCGCTGCAACCGATCTGACCTGCCTCGCCAGTGCTGCTGAGACACGTAGCGTGCCGGTCACCCAGCTGTCAGTAGAGGAACTTGATAGTTTCTTCACTAGATGGGGTTAAAATTCGTCAAAATTTCGCAAGCCAGCTGGGAAAATTTCACAAATCAATGTTTGTGTATTAAAGATGATCCAAATTCAACATTAAGATTTCAAAACAATAATAATTTACAAAAACTCTGGCAGTTTTCTCAAATTCTCAAATTAAATGAATTTTGATAGTTACCAGTATTTTGTATACATGAATTTACAATGTTACCAACTAGTATTAATAAAGATTGAATACAAATATGTTTATTCAGGATTTTGTAACATATTTTTTTTGAGCTAAAAGTGTATGCATTTAAAAAAAAATTTATGATTGAGCAGCAGTTTTCTTTTGTAAAACATTGATATAAAAGCTGAATACATTGTACAGTGTGTTAAACTTTTTAGGTTACGCAACATGTTCATGCTATTAGCACACAGGAATGTAAAACGGAAATTTACAGGACAAAATCTGGGCCAAGTGGTGAAAAGTTACCAGAGCTGGGAACTTTAGTATGTTGGATATCGGGATTTTCTTAATCTCCAGATTAAATATTGCTTGTTCTCCTCATGAATTTAATCTCCAGATTAATTAACAGATCGGGATTAAGGATATCACATTCAAAAGTTTTCAGCTGAAATGTTTTGAAGCATGAAAACTTTAGAATGTTTGATATAAAGTTCATTGCTTGATCTTTACTTTTTATTAATCTCCAGATTAAATATGGCTTGTTTTTCCTCTTGTTATTAATCTCTAGATTAATTAACAGTCTGACCGATTCATAAGTCACAAAGATGTCATTTAACCATATTTCTGAGAAAAATGAGGAGGAAATGACGTCAAGCTAAAGTTAATTGCATGTATTTTCAATTATAAACTATCTTATGAAAGAGCTATTGAGAAGAACAAAGTGACCGTTTAATCAAGAAGAACAAAGATGTTTTGAATTAGCAATTAATAACCGACTAAATATGCCTTTTTCATTTGTGTGCATAAGTTCAAACTAAAACATCTACAAGGTGACAAAGTCCAAGTAATATCGCATAAATTTGACCTTCTTCTGTTTAGTTTACAGTGAGATACATGTCACATTTTGACAAGTTCTTTCGTCGTTTCTCGGTCGCTTTTACAGAGAGATTTTTCTAGAATATATAAATTACTGAATGCATAATTTTGTTCAAAACAAAATGTTTGGCAAATTTATAATTATTTTCATCTCCTTTACAGGAAAGTTAAAGGGAGTGTTCGCGAAAAGGGGCATAGGGTACTTACGGCGAAAAATAAGCGCTTTTGACCGTTCTACTAAAATCTTACTTCTATCTGTTGTCTTTATAAGGAGAAAATTGTTAAAAACGACTCATGCTGAAGAACGTAGCGTCCAAATAAATTCAGAAAGTTGCAAATTCAACACGGATCGTAAAATAATCAATTTAATTCCAAACAAATCATTCAGATATTACAATCAATAATTTTTCGCCGCATTCGTCTACAGTTGATATTTCAAAATAGGTTTTATTTTTTATGATCTGATGGTTACTTTTGAAAACATTTATTCCTGTTTCGAGGATTTTTTTTACAATGAAGACGACATTTTCATATTTTCCAGGAATATTCAAAATCCAGCGTCAGTAAAATATTATTTCTAAAAATCAGAATCAAAAATATTATGAATTGAAATACGCTCTGGATGTTTTGTAGAGTGTAGACAACATTAGTTGAGGGAACCCGTTGTTAAGTAAAATTATTAAAGTAAATTGTCGTCAAAACAAATAAAAAGCGCAATTTTTTTCCCGAAAACGGTTTGTAATTTTACATAACTGTCCCAAGGGACGTAAAGTAACTTAACCTCCATCTGTTGGGTGAATCATAAGTCGGTAATGTTAGTCAAAAGGCGGTAAAAACTTTAATCGATCTGTTTAACATTCTGTTTAAATTTCTATCAATATGTTTGTGATAAAAAGTGTCAAAAAAAACGACATCTAGAAAATTGAATAATGTAAATATGTCGATTCAGCTTTTTATTCAAAATAATCTGAAAAGAATATGTATATTATGAACTCTAAATATTTTTTGAGATGTTTACGAAGGAATTATAGAGTACAAAGAGAAAACCTTTCATTACAATTAGTTTTGAAGTAATGTAGGAAATTAGATTTTTAAAAATCCAATCAACTAATACATTTTTTTTAATAGAGACCCATTTTACAAAACAAGTAAATGTGAAATTTCTTGACATTTTTTTTACAAAACACATACTAGGCTTTTAGGGCGCTTCGCGCCTATCTTCTATTTCAAATGTGAACATTTTTTCTTTGTATACATTGTAAAACAGAAAAATAAATTGTAGATTTTATCAAAAAATTTCGTGGTTTTTCATCATTTAATAAAAATCGAATTATTTTGGAGGCGAATTTTCGAAATTTTGATCATATATAAATCTTCCCTGGGAACATGTGACGTCTCACACAAAATTTTGGCCCGATTGGTTCAGCCGTTTTAACATTTATTGGACACAAACGAACAAAAAAATCAAGATTAAAATTAAAAAGTAATCACTACTAATTAAATATACAAATGTATGAAAGTATGTAAAAAGGAAAAGTCTCTAGAATTTAAATTTCTTTAAAACCCCATTTTTTGTATTAGCCACAAACCCCATATGTATCTTTGCAACAAAATGTCGTAGACCATAAATAATTCAAACTATGAGTTCTGTCAGATCAAATAATCTAAGTTCGAAACTTTCAAAGATAACGGAATTAGAAAAAAAAACTTAAAAAGTAACATTTGTTTTTATAACTTTAAAGAAAAACAACATTTTTGTCATAATAAAAAACAAAATTTGTGGGTTAAACATTGAAATTAATAAAAATATCTATTGTTTTTAAACAAAGTTTCAGCTCTTTTAATACAATACATTGTGTAATAGATTTAATGAATCTCAACCCTTCTTCCAACTTTCTGCTTTGGAATTTCTCGGCTCGGAGATTCAAACAAAAAGATGAATTCGCCCCAAACTATATACAGGGAGTACATTATAAACAAGAAAACACAGGTAGGGATGTAGAGGATCAATGATTCTATAAACACACAAGGATGAATTCTATAATCTCAAGGGTAAATAGTAATCAATGATTCTGTAAAAACAAGGATGAATGGTGATCACTGATTCTATAAACACATAGGATTAATATGTGATCAAAGATTCTACAAACACAACAATAAATAGTGATCAATGTTTCTATGAACACAAAAATGAATGATGACCAATGATTTTATAAACACAATGATTAATGGTAATCATGATTCTATAAATACAAGGATGAATGACGAATATATAAAAAGTTTTATCATACACATTTTAGTTATATTTAGCAATCAGTTTTTTCCAAAACGATTAAAATAAGATTTAAAGGAAACGTCGTGTCTGAACAGTCCAATCGGGAAAAATGTTATTTTTGTTTTTGCTTTTCTCTCTGTATCTTCACGTTTATTGGTACTCACCATTCATCCTTGTGTTTTCAAAATCATTGGTGATTATTCATCCTTGTGTTTAAAGAATTATTGATCACCATTCATCCTTGTGACTATAAAATTATTATTCACTATTTATCCTGTGTTTATAGAATCATTGGTCAAAATTAACATCATTGCATATTTAGAATCTTTGGTCACGATTCATTTTTGTGTTTATAGAATCATCGATCACCATGAATTCTTGTGTTTATAGACTCAATGGTCATCATTAATTCTTGTGTATATAGAATCAATTGTAACTATTATTTATCATTGTGTTTATAGAATCATTAAACCTTATTTATCCTTGTATTTATAGAATCATTGATCTCGATCTCCATTTATCCTTTTGTTAACAAAATCATTGGTGACCATTTTTCCTTATGTTTAAAAAATCATGATCACCATTAATCATTGTGTTTATAGATTCATTGGTGACCATTCATCCTTGTGTTTATAAAATCATTGGTTTGGGTAATCTAGTGTATAATGAAGACAGGTTATATCTACTGGCAATATTTAACCTGGTTTAATTAAATCAAATCAATCCAGAAACTGAAATGTAATTTTCAGCAAGAACATTTTAGACTCTTGCTCAAACTTATCTGAACTTTTATACAACTTATTTTCATTTTATATTTTTACACTTTCCTTTGATACATGTTTTATACATTCACAGAAATCCAGACTGCTATAATATATTGTGCATCAATTTTAGACACCGGGGTTTAAAAATGTTGCAATTAAAACACCTTCGTCTGGCTAATTCACTTTTACTTTTTAAAGGGTTTAGTTTTCATTGTAAGAATTTTGTCAATTGCTCCTCTTAAACTGAAGTTGGATACAAACTTCTAAAATGTACATATCTCCAGGGCTTAAAGGGACAGACCGGCTATGTACGGTAGTTAAACGGAGTATGCAGTGTTGTAGACAAATTCGTTAGGATTCATTTGAGACATATGAAACTTTTGGAAAATCTGTAAATCCTGAGTTTGAGCGTCGTTATTTAATGAATTTGAAAAAAAACGATTCTGAAAACATACCCACCCAAATTCATGATTTTGAACGTCGACTTTGCATTCAAACTCAGTAAGTATACATTGTGGACAAGTTTTATATGTCTCAAATGAATCCTAAAGAATTTGTCCACAACACTGCATACTCAGTCTAACTACCTTACATAGCCGTCACAACACTTAAAAGTCAACACAGTCTTAAAAAATTGATGCAACTTTTCATAGCATGGTCTGGATCTATGGGAACCCTATCCTGGTTGTCCTATTCTAGTCTGATAAATATTCTGCAAAATTTTCATAGCATGGTCTGGATCTATGGGAACCCTATCCTGGTTGTCCTATTCTAGTCTGATAAATATTCTGCAAAATTTTCATAGCATGGTCTGGATCTATGGGAACCATATCCTGGTTGTCCTATTCTAGTCTGATAAATATTCTGCAAAATTTTCATAGCATGCAGGTTTGGATCTATGGGAACCATATCCTGGTTGTCCTATTCTAGTCTGATAAATATTCTGTAAAATTTTCATAGCATGGTCTGGATCTATGGGAACCATATCCTGGTTGTCCTATTCTAGTCTGATAAATATTCTGTAAAATTTTCATAGCATGCAGGTTTGGATCTATTGGAACCATATCCTGGTTGACCTATTCTAGTCTGATAAATATTCTGTAAAAGCTTTCCGAACATGTAAATATTAGATCAGTAGACCAAGTGGTGACCGTTAAATAAGTTCTTTGAAAAAAGAAAAAAGGTTTTCGGAAACAAAGGCGTCTTGTGGAATAAAGTCCTTGAAATAAAAAGTGTCTGGAAATAAAGTCCTACCATATTGAGACTTTTTTTGAGCACGTTTTTTCTGGTTCCAGTATGATTTCATACAAAAAGTTCCCGGAAAAAAAGCCTTTTAAGAAAATGCCTTGGGAACAAAGGATGTTTACAACCAGCCATGGAAAAAAGGGGCTGGATATTGAAAAAACCCCAGGCTATATTCAATATGCAGATGCATAGAAGAAAATTCCTTTTTATGAAAACATCTTATTTTTCCAAAGACTTAAGACTTTTTCTCTTGTTTTATTTTCTTCAGGACTTTAATTCCTGTGATCTTATTTCCTGAAACTTTATTGGCCGCCCCCATATTATTTTATTGGAAAAAAAGTCCCAGGAATCTCAAACCAGGACTTTATTTCCAGTGACATTTTGTCCTAGGACTTTAGAAAATTTGGATTTTTTACCAAAGTTTTTATTTCCAGGTCTTTTTTTCTGTTCAATTTTTTTTCTTGCTTCTTGTTTCTTGTTTCTACACTTGAGGTTCTCCAAATAGTTCTTTTAACATCGAGTTGTGGATAAGGAGAGAGATGAGGAGATTTGTAGGAGGAAGTGTGCAGACATTGCTCCCTGTATTCTAACCCGTGGTTAAAGAAGTGTTCGCGAAAAATGAAATGGGGTATGTATAGGCTTAATGCGATCAAAAAGCGCTTTTGATCACGACTAATCTTACTTCTATCTGTTGCGTCTATAAGGAGAAAATTGTTAAAAACGACTAATACCGAAGAACGTAGTGCCATACAAGTTCAAAAAGATGCAACATTCAACTCCGATCGTAAACAAATCAATTTAATTCCAAACAAACCATTCAGATATTACAAACAATAGTCATCGATTATTTTTCGACGCATTCGTAAATAGTTGATATTTGTATGATCTGAGAGTTACTTTTGAAAACATTTATTCCTGTTTCGAGGATTTTTGATAATTAAGACGACATTTTCATATTTACCAGGAATGTTCGAAAATTCAGCGCCAGCGAAAATCATTTAAAAAAACAAAATCATAAATATTATGAAATATTAACTATATACGAGTGCGTCTTTTGAGATGAAAATGCGCAAATTTTTTTTAAAACATTTTGCAGAGCGGGTCGTTTTTGTAGTTAATTGTCCCAAGGGAAGTAAAGTAACTTAACGTTCCTCTGTGGAGGAATCATGTGTCGATAATATTTGGTCAAGAAGAGGTAAAAACAAAAATCTAAAATTGTGGAAACTGGCGGGACGGAAAATGGCGACGACGAGACATTTGCAAGACATTTGCAGTACGCTGTTCTTCTGAAGCGGACATTTATTGAGAGACTGAGATTTTCAGCAGCATATTTGGTCCCCACCGCCAGGGAAATTTTTTTTATTGAACGCTTCTCCATCAGAGGAAGGATGATCATTAACACTGAGGGCGCTAATTATTTCACAGGAGGGATGGCAATTAACATTTAGGACACTAATTACTCCACCGGAGGGATGTTAATTAGCATTCAGGACACTAATTACTCCACTGGAGGGATGATAATTAACACACAGGACATTAATAAATACATCTAAGGGATGGTAATTAACACTCAGGACACTAATTAGTCCAACGGAGGAATGTTAATTAAATACCACCCCTTCGGTGAAGTAATTAGTGTTTTAATTGATAATTACTATCCCTTAGGTGGAGTTATTAGTGTCCTGAGTGTTAATTCTTTTTCAATCCTTTCCTTTATTACTTTGTATTCCTTCATTTATTCTATAGAGGAGGACACTGACTAGCTTCTCATCGGTTTTAGTTCTATTTTATTCTTCTTTTACACTCACTCTTTCTATTATTTCCTATTCTTATTCTGTTTTGTAGAAGACGACATTCATAAACCTCTTTTAGTTTTTTCAGGGTTACTTAAAAAGGATGGGACTGTAAAGACGGCCTGAAACACTTTAAATATGACGTTTCAAAGATTAAAATTATGAATTATAGTCGTCAAATGTCTCGGTGGGGTTAAAAAAAGCAATTTGAATTGATTTTTTACATTTTTAAGGGCTCTGCTGTGTGTCATTTTTTATAATCCCGAATCATTAAAGCTAGAGCTGTTATATCCGGAGGAAAAAAGATTCCCAGTCTTCACAGGGTTAAGGAGGAAAGGATAGGCCGGAGAATAAAACAACGGAGTGATAAGATGTATCCGGGACGGATGAGAGAAAAATCCTCGAGAAACGAAGGTTGCAGCTCCGGAGAATATTCTCTCTGATACCGGAGTATTATTCAACTCCGGGCACCGGAGTAAGATACTCCTCCTGTACTAAACACTAGTGTTTTTAATAATACTTTGAAGAAGGGTATCGAGCTTTTCAGAATGTATACTTTCTTTCTTTGTTATATGTATATATATTTCTAATGCAAATAGTATTGAAATATTGGCCGGGGGGGGGGGGTCTTTCCTTTTCTTTTGGCGATGAAAAAACATTAAGCTTGAAAGTAAATAAGTAAATTGCATGAACTATTGACATCTTTTTCAACTCAAGTTCTCAAGCGCCTTGTCTTATATACAACCGGATATATATACAGTGCGGATACTTCCATACTTGTTCAAAACTATATCAAAACTATAGTAAAAAATCGCAAAGTTGTCCCGGCAATGTTGCATTATATTTGACCCTCTTCTTCTGTTCAGTTTGGAGATCACATTCGAATTTAGAATTTAAAACATAAAAATGCATTTTGATCATCTTTTGAATCGAAGGCAAAAAATAAATGTTTAGAAAATCATAATTTTGTGTCTCAGTTAAAAATATCAGAACTTTTCTTATTTTCATATTTTCAAATGATAAGCTCCAAAGCTATACATGTCAACTTAAGACTTTCTGCATTTTTTTCTCTAAAGATTCACAAACTTGTTAGCTGAATTTAGAAAAAAATATTTTTTTTTCGTTATAGTGCTGTTGTAGGCAAAATAATAGAAAATTTTAATTTTAGCCTTAAGCTCTCATTTTCTGATCCTTATCTTTGCTGCCTGATGGAGTGAACTCTTGATTTTTCAAACTTTGATTATGTACTGCAGAAAAGTTTATCTATCTACGACTTCAGATTGCAAAGATCGTGATTATAGAAAATGATTCATGGTTGAGAATTTACCGTTCAACGTTGTTTAGCGCCAGCCGATTAAATATGTAAATATATATGAATACTAGGCTTTGAAACATTTATCTTTGTTTATATTGTAAAACAAAGCAAATAAGATTCGCAGATTCTTTGAATAAATTTTGTGGAATTTCAAAATTTTTTTATAAAATGTTAAAAATATATAAGATTAAAAAAGCTGAAATATAAATGTTTGATATTATTTGATGCTAAAACATTTCAATCATTAATCAAAAGATAAATTTGATGAGCTTTTCCTTTCACCAAATATTGATTTTTATATTTAGACTTTTAGAAAAAGTTCTGCACATGCAATATTTAATATTCTGTGTCCCAAATCCTAATCTGTATTATTCTGTGTCCCAATATTTAATACTCTATGTCCAGATATTATCAGTTATGTTGTTGAATTTACTTATTTCGAAGAACAAATTATTTCAGAGAATTATTTCTAATAGGGAGAACTTAAAATTCGGAACAAAATGGCGAATAACTCTACCATTGAATACGAATATTACTACGGTATGTGAAGGGGACAGCGGCGTATCCGGGGGGCGGCTATTGGGGCTAAGCCCCCCTGAACCAGTATGAAATCTATTGATTTCAGGGGGTTTTCATGCCCCAATGGATGCTGAGCCCCCCTGGAAAGAAAAAAAATGAAGCCCCCCCCTGGACCAATATTTGAATACGCCCCTGGAGGGGAGAATACATTTTTCAGAATTGATTAAAAAGAATTGAACTCAAATTTTCTAAATCCAATTATACCTTTGCAACTTGATGATATAAACCTAAGATATTTCAAACATAGGTTATTTGATCTAACAGAATTCATAGTTTGAAATATATCTAAGGTCTACGAGTACGACATTGGGTTGCAAAGATAAAGGGATTAGAAAAAAAGAGTTTGTAGCAAAGACTCAATTTAAGACGTAATGTCACGTAAAATATTAATTCTTTAAAACATTAAATTCATCATGCATATTACTCAGAGAAAAGGTTAAATTTGGACAAGCCAATTAAGAATAATGTCTATATAGTCCCTTTCAGTCGAATGTCATTGTGCAGCCCAAAACAATACTTTTGTAAACTCTTAAAGGGAGCATTCGCGAAAAATGAAAGGTGGTATAGGCTTAATGCGATAAAATTGCGCTTTTGATCGCTACTAATCTTACTTTTATCTGTTGCGTCTATAAGGAGAAAATTGTTGAAAACGTCTAATACCTCTAAGAACATAGTGTCAATACAAATTGAGAAAATTGCAACATACTACTTCAGCTTTAAAAAATCAATTTAATTTCAAACAAATCATTCAGATATTACAACCTATAGTTATCGATAATATTTCGCCACATTTGTATATAGTTTATATTTTCATTTTTCGCGAACACTCCCTTTAAAGAAAACTTGCACAAATGAACGATTCATGAAAAAAGCAATTATTGAAAATTAATTTCCTAAAAATAGAAATAATTAATGATAATTGTCTGTTTGAAGAAATGAACGGAACAGATGAAGAATATTGCTCTGGAGAACAAGAACTAATTTTCAAGGTTAGTCCTCGTATATATTAATTCAATGAATTGATTTCAAGGTTAGCCGTTGTATATATTAATACAATAAATTGATTTCAAGGTTAGCCGTTGTGTATATTAATACAATAAATTGATTTCAAGGTTAGCCGTCGTGTATATTAATACAATGAATTGATTTCAAGGTTAGCCGTAGTGTATATTAATACAATGAATTGATTTCAAGGTTAGCCGTCGTGTATATTAATACAGTGAATTGATTTCAAGGTTAGCCGTCGTGTATATTAATACAATAAATTGATTTCAAGGTTAGCCGTCGTATATATATTAATACAATGAATTGATTTCAAGGATAGCCGTCGTATATATTAATACAATAAATTGATTTCAAGGTTAGTCGTCATATATATTAATACAATGAATTGATTTCAAGGATAGCCGTCGTATATATTAATACAATAAATTGATTTAAAGGTTAGCCGTCGTATGTATATTAATACAATAAATTGATTTCAAGGTTAGCCGTCGTGTATATTAATACAATAAATTGATTTCAAGGTTAGCCGTCGTTTATATATTAATACAATAAATTGATTTCAAGGTTAGCCGTCGTGTATATTAATACAATGAATTGATTTCAAGGTTAGCCGTCGTGTATATTAATACAATGAATGGATTTCAAGGTTAGCCGTCGTGTATATTAATACGATAAATTGATTTCAAGGTTAGCCGTCGTATATATATTAATACAATAAATTGATTTCAAGGTTAGCCGTCGTGTATATTAATACAATGAAATGATTTCAAGGTTAGCCGTCGAATATATTAATTCAATAAATTAATTTTAAGGTTAGCCGTCGTGTATATTAATACAATAAATTGATTTCAAGCTTAGCCGTTGTGTATATTAATACAATAAATTGATTTCAAGGTTAGTCGTCGTATATATTAATACAATAAATTGATTTCAAGGTTAGCTGTCGTATATATTAATACAATAAATTGATTTCAAGGTTAGCCGTCGTGTATATTAATACAATAAATTGATTTCAAGGTTAGCCGTCGTGTATATTAATACAATAAATTGATTTCAAGCTTAGCCGTTGTGTATATTAATACAATAAATTGATTTCAAGGTTAGCCGTCGTTTATATATTAATACAATAAATTGATTTCAAGGTTAGCCGTCGTGTATATCAATACAATGAATTGAATTCAAGGTTAGCCGTCGTGTATATTAATACAATAAATTGATTTGAAGGTTAGCCGTCATATATATATAAATACAATAAATTGATTTCAAGGTTAGCCGTCGTATATATATTAATACAATGAATTTATTTCAAGATTAGTCGTCGTAATTATTAATTCAATGAATTGATTTCAAAGTTAGCCGTCGTATATATTAATACAATGAATTTATTTCAAGGTTAGCCGTCGTATATATTAATACAATGAATTTATTTCAAGGTTAGTCGTCGTATATATTATTTCAATGAATTGATTTCAAGGTTTGCCGTCGTATATATTGATACAATGCATTGACTTCAAGGTTAGTCGTCGCTTATATTAATACAATGAATTGATTTCAAGGTTAGCCGTCGTATATATTAATACAATAAATTAATTCAAGGTTAGCCGTCGTATATGTTAATACAATGAATTGATTTCAAGGTTAGCCGTCGTGTATATTAATACAATAAATTGATTTCAAGGTTAGCCGTCGTATATATATTAATACAATAAATTGATTTCAAGGTTAGTCGTCGTTCATATTAATACAATGAATTGATTTCAAGGTTAGCCGTCGAATATATTAATTCAATAAATTAAATTTAAGGTTAGCCGTCGTATATATATTAATACAATGAATTTATTTCAAGGTTAGTCGTCGTAATTATTAATTCAATGAATTGATTTCAAGGTTAGCCGTCGTATATATTAATACAATGCATTGACTTCAAGGTTAGTCGTCGCTTATATTAATACAATGAATTGATTTCAAGGTTAGCCGTCGTATATATTAATACAATAAATTGATTTCAAGGTTAGCCGTCGTGTATATTAATACAATAAATTGATTTCAAGGTTAGCCGTCGTATATATTAATACAATAAATAAATTTCAAGGTTAGTCGTCGTATATATTAATACAATGAATTGATTTCAATTTTAATTTTAAAGACCAAAGATAAACACAGATAAAAATTCAAAAAGGAGCCGTCAAATAGGAACTTCTCTTTGGTTACTTTTAAAATTGAAAGAAAAAGATTTTTTACAAATCAAAACTTAAACAGAAAATTAGCTGGTTTTTAAGCTTCTGGTTCCATAATTTGCTTTATAACAACATCAAATACACAGAAAGTTGAATCAAAATCATCTGTTTTTACAATTTTACTATTTTAATAAGAAATGTTAAAAAAGATATATCTCAATATATATATTTAGGGCACATCTTTTTAATTTACAGTTACAAATTAAAAACCAAGACGACATTAATTCTGAATATATTCGTGTTTAAAATGTGGAATGACGATTTTAAACAGCAATTATGGTTTTAAATATTTTTTTTGTCATCTGTAAAAATTGCCTCACAATATTTAATAAGCATTTTAGGCCTTGCAGATTTTATATTAGGATAAAGTTTGTAAAATTTGAGCATCAGTCAATATTATTTTTCATTGTTTCCTTGAGGAAAATGTGTAATTTTTATGATTGGTCAGTAAATGGTCTAATTTCCGTGAGGAATTATTTGTTTGGCATACTTCAAGGTTATAATGCAAGGAAAGTTATTTCAGAGGTGTACGCATCTTTTGTACTGCAGTTCAGTACCCGGGAGGTAATGTAAATACAAAAGGGCTGTCACAGCCTAACATGGGATCCATCAAACAATTAAAAAATCAATGAAATATTCTGGTCATAGGAAACTATTATGTAAATTATCAAAATTATCAAAATTAGATGCTTTTATCCTCCTCGGATACTAAACGAACACTGATGCATCTATCCTTGTTTACAAATTGCGCTCAGAGAGAACTAGTTTCAATATGAACGCAGAGTATACGCAACTGCAATTAACTTTCCTTGCATTATAGCCTTGGCATACTAGAAAGATTATAAAGCTTAAAAAAATAAAAAAAAATGTGGCCAAAAAAAGTTGTAAATGATTTATCCTTATAATTATCCAATTTTTAGTCATTCCAACAAAACAATTGACCCCTACTTCCAGGGGAGTCATCATTTTTTAATAGGTTTTTTATACCATACAATCATTTATTTGAAGTTTTCTAAAACGTCCATTCCATTTTTCAAGAACCTTGTATATCCTTTCTATTTCAAACAATGCCAATTTGTATTTTTTTGTTTTTAATATTTTTGTGAAAAACAAGTTTTCAAATAAATTTTCGCTTATATCATTAAAAACAATCTTCTTTCATAAAAAAACAATCTTATTTCATTTTTTTTATATCACTAAGACCAATTTTATAGTTATGTCTCATTATTTTATTTGAAATAATTGTTCTATTTGATCTAGAGCTCAGTCCAGTTGATTTTCGTGATCATCTATTCTATCATTGGATTCGTTGGAATCTTTTCCAACACTTTTATCATCATCATCATACTTAGGTAAATATATATCATCATCATCATCATTCTTAGGTAAATATATATCATCATCATCATCATACTTAGGTAAATATATATCATCATCATCATACTTAGGTAAATATATATCTTTTATCATCATCATCATACTTAGGTAAATATATATCATCATCATCATACTTAGGTAAATATATATCTTTTATCATCATCATCATACTTAGGTAAATATATATCATCATCATCATCATACTTAGGTAAATATATATCATCATCATCATCATACTTAGGTAAATATATATCTTTTATCATCATCATCATACTTAGGTAAATATATATCTAAAAGATAAAGACAAAATTTGCTGAGGAGGGAACACTTTCGCTTCACGGCTTAATTTCTTTTGAAATTCCACGGGCACCACCTCCACGGGCACCACCTCTACGGGCACCACCAGTCATTTACGCTAAAATCATTTTTTAATACCCCGCGGGGATAAACAGGGGGAGTAACTATGAATTATATTTTAAACCTGGGCAACTCCGTGTTAACTCACTTGTATATATATATATATTGTAGAAGACTTGCTTTTAGTTATAAGAAAATATGATTTTTTCCTACATGTTTAAATTATAATTGAGTTTGCATAAAATGCACAAACAGTTTCACTGATATTTCGCTTTGTTTTTCAATGGCTCCTTGGTTTTCAACTGAACAATATATATTTTTAATTTTAGAATATACTAAGAAGAAAGGAACTGAAGAATTTAAATAACTTTTCCTTAAGAATTAGACTAGAACTGAAAATTGTGAATTTATTTATTAAAATTTAGTGAATTTTATGTTTCTGTAATTCAATCTTTATAACATTTTAGAACTTGATAGAAATAATATATATACACATTTTTGCATTTCTAAACTTCTGATTTTCAGAAGAAAAATATTTCCGCGGATTTTTTTGGGCCATTGGAGTACAAAAAAAATTCCGAAAAATGCCAAAAAAGTATTAAGAAAATTAAAATACAGGATTGTTGCACAACGAAAGGCTCAATTTTGCACCAGCCACCGCTAATCATACTTTTTTTGACTCACCCTGTAATATATATATATTTATGAATATATATTTGTGTTCTAAAAATAAAGTTGTGTATGCATAAAATATACAAGTTTTTACGTAAAGAAATATTTTTTTTCAATATTAATTTTAAAACGCAAAACCAATGCAATAGTTCCTTCTAAAAATTGGAGAGTTACATAATGTTGATTTATTAGGATACAGATATGTCACATAATTGGAGAGTTACATAATGTTGATTTATTAGGATACAGATATGTAGTTCTTCCGAATCAATCTTAATTACAGAAAACGCGCTGCATTTCTTTCTGTCTTCTCTTCTTAGGGTTTAAGCCAGGTCTATTCAACGCTTCAACGCTAATTTTTACATTATATACTAACTATTTATAAAAACATAAGGTTACTAGTCAAATAGGGTGCCCGGCGTAGTGGGCACCCAACTAGTACATAAATATACTTACAAGGTTTATGAACGATAATGTTTATCTCTTATTTGGTTACAAGATAATGCATAAAATGATTATAATAGTTATTAAAAGGAATATAGAAAAGGTATCAGGTCTCTCTGATATAGTACTCGGGAATATTTATTACAGATATATTATTGTGTTGTGAACGAAAACAGAAATATAAAAATTGTTAGTGTAGATTGGATGATAACAGATATTGCTTATTTCCTGTAATGTTTACACATTTATTCTTTTTCTCATTGTTTATTTATGTTTTATGTAAAAACAAACAATTATGGCGGTGCTAATTTTACTTTTTTAATCCATAGTTTTGCAAAGTGATGTTTTAAACCTTTGATTTACGATTTAAATGTATTTCAAGCAAAAATCACAGTTTGAAATCAAATACAGGGTGTCTCACTCCCACATCATATTAGATCATTTGTAATCTCTTTAAATTATGAATTTAGGGACAGTTTAGAAAATTTAAAAAGAGTTAATTATTTAATTATTGAAATGTTTTTTGGCAGAAAATACTAGGTTTTTCGAATATTATATGCGCATTTTGGCGTTACAGTTTGGAGCTAATCTAATATGATATGAGACGCTCTGTATGGTACATCAATAATTGCATCAATGGTTGAACGTAGATTAAGTACGTTCTTTTAGAACAGTGCTTGCGTGTTCAATGTTCATGTTTTTATTTAAATTTTTATTTTTATTTATTTAAATTTTGTTCAGTAAACAAGAAATGTGGAACAGCACAAACGTGTTCATCTGCAATATGGCCGTATCAGATATAGTGATCAGTCTGACCGCTATACCACTCACACCGCTCACAGCTTTTACAGGTAGATGTTAGATACTCTCCCAAGGTAATTTTACAAAGCGACAACTTCCCAAGGGCATTTTCCCAAGTGGCAACTACCCAAATGTGCAATTTCCCAAGTGACATCTTCCCAATTTCTGTTCTAGCCGCAGTGATCCCCCCTCCCTATTGCATAAGGCCTATTCAAACCTTAGTTGTACATCTGGGGTGTAGCAAATTGGAAAATTGTCATTTGAGATTTTCCTTTGGAAAAGTACCTATAAACCTCCATTTTGCTATGTCTTTGCTTTGGCTAGGTTACCAAAACAGGTGTACAGAGTGATGTACGCTAATCCTTTACTACTTTAATAGGCCATAAACTATACCGAGAGCGTACCGAATATTTGTTTATTAGTTGATTCTGGCCTTATATATAGTATATCAATATTAGTAAACAGTTGCAAGTGTACAGTACAGCTAACTAAGTAGACAGGTAGAGAACTATTATCCCCTCTGAGTACCTCATATGACAGCCACTTCATATGACCCCAAAGAAAAATTGACTTTGAATGTTCTCAGTCATATCAAATTACATTTTTGTAACATTAAATTTCTTTATGTCCATTCTATTTTGTTGGAAAGAAAAAATTCTTGATAAACCTGTTTCTAAAGCTTTTTTTATTAATTAATCAGAAACCGAATTTAATGAATAAAGCTACGTTATTGAATGACATATACTACCTGTTCCAATTTAAGTCAACAGCTATGCAGTTCAAATTAAATTAATTCGGTCCCAGGAATTCAATATAACATACTAATCATTTCTATGAAAAAAATCTCAACTAAATATTCTTTTAAATTATATTTTAGACATTAATTCTGTTTATGGACTGGAGATCAAATAAATGAATAAACAAATAAATAAATATTCGAATCTGATGGAGAAGTTTATATTCAATCTGATCGCATAAAAATTCTGGGGTGTAGCAAATTGGAAAATTGTCATTTGAGATTTTCCTTTGGAAAAGTACCTCTAAACCTCCATTTTGCTATGTCTTTGCTTTGGCTAGTTACCAAAACAGGTGTATAGAGTGATGTACGCTAATCCTTTACTACTTTAATAGGCCATAAACTATACCGAGAGCGTACTGAATATTTGTTTATTAGTTGATTCTGGCCTTACATATAGTATATCAATATTAGTAAACAGTTGTAAGTGTACAGTACAGCTAACTAAGTAGACAGGTAGAGAACTATTATCCCCCCTGAGTACCTCATATGACGGCCACATCATATGACCTCAAAGGAAAATTGACTTTAAATGTTCTCAAACATATCAAATTATTAAATTTTTGTAACATTGAATTTCTTTATGTCAATTCTACATTTGTTGAAAAGAAACAAATTCTATTAGTAAAATATAAACCTGTTTCTAAAGCTTGTTTTATCAATCAGTTAGAAATAAATTTGGGCGCGTTGCTCAACTACCTACTGCCGGTTCAAATTTTAATTTCCATTAGTGAAAACCAAACGTGTTTGTTGGCAATGAATCAGGAACCGAATTTAATGAATTGAGCTACGTTATTGAAGATCAAATAAATGAATAAATAAATAAATAAATAAATATTCGAATCTGATGGAGAAGTTTATATTCAATCTGATCGCATAAAAACAACAAAGTTCTTTAGCACTCGCTCTGACCAAGAGAGTACGTGGGTCAAACAGGGCGTTTTTAATCTTTCAGCTCATATAATGGTCTTTCTTTCTCGGCTCCGTGTTTTGAATTTGACAAAGTTGTAAATCAGTTTCTCGAGATAGGAACATCAGATATAACTTTCATGGGTCGCGATCGAGAGCTAAAGTGATTAGCTTTCAGCCTATACCCCCTTTCATTTTTCCTTTACAGTGCCTTTAAGCCTGCTATTTCTATTGCCTGATTTCAGAGCAAATTCAATAGTAGATAGAAAAAAAGATATAAAAGTGAAAACATAAAAACGAATTATATAAACTTTTTGTTGCAAGGGATCTAAACACCCCTTTAGCCAGGCTTTGCATACTACAGCGTAAAAACACACACATCCTGCCGTAGTACATTTGAATTTCTGAGCCGGGTCAACCTTTCCGGTCCCAGTTTGTACTGAGTGTTAGAATAAGAAGAAGAGTTGTTAAATTGGTAGTTGTAATTAAGAAAATTAGGCAAAGTAATGGATTTTTTTCGGAACCACTGTATTGGAAGAGAATAAATAAGATATTTAAGTAACTAATTATAAAGTATATAATTTTCTTTCTTTTGTCTATGCTCTACACAACATTATTTATCTTTTATCGGATAATTGTTTTTTTATCTTAATTGTTTTCTTTTTATACTTCTGGGCAAAGTTCGATATAACTGCAATGGCGTACATAAAGTATAGAAAAAGCACAATAAATCCATCAATTAAAAAAATGAACAACCGATCTTACTATTTAATCAAACTCTTTCTTTTAAATCCTTATTCATATTGATAGCTAGTATACACCTTCATATATTGTGGTTCAAATAAAATGTTAAATTTCATAATAGGGTTGCAAAGATATGTTTTAAAAGAAATTAAAATTTGAAGCAAATGCTCACTTGTAGTTTTTCTGAATTTAAGTGTTAACTGAATTCAACATTCTGTTCATAATGTCTAACAATTAATGCTCGAAATGTTCTTCCAAACATGGAATTTAATGATAATTTTTTTATTCAGGAGATTGGTATTTTGGAAAGATTGCCTGTGTTCTCCTACCTGCCTTCCAGGTAACTATAACAACATTTATGTAAAAAAAGTAATAATCTTAATATCAACATTTTCTTAAATCTCATTTTCCCTCACGAAACAGCAGCTTCTGAAAACAATTTTAAATTTTGCTAAAAATAATAATTATAGCTTATAGATTTATTTTTCTGTCTAACATTTGTGATGTGCAAAAATTATAAGAGGATTTATTTGGAAAAGCAGAAATATGCCAATATTTGTGTTAGCATGGTCTCAGAAAGGGTGAAAACATTGTTTTTTCAATATTGGTTCCTCGCAACTCTTTCACCTTATTTTTTCATCTCCTTTTCTCAACCATTTCTAAAAATTGTTTTTATTAATATTTTTATGAGGTGGATCAGGATGTTATGAAACTTTTGGACTCATTTTGAAAGGAACTGATTAAATTTTCTAATCCTTATGTCTTTGCAACCTGTTGGCCTAAACCTTGTATTTGTGGTAAAGAATCAATTCCTTTATTTAGGGAGGAAGTGTGTACATATCATCACTGAGTCTGGCGGCAATAGCTGTGGATAGGTAAACTATTTTTGCCGCTAAATTAACAAGTGGGGATTCCAATTCAATATTAGAGGTCGCAAAAAATCAAGGGGGTGGGGTCACAAAATAGGTCTTTAATAATAATCAAGATTTTTGCCTGTTAATTCAATCACATTTTTAGATACTTTGCGATGAACAAAAGTAGTCCTGCACAAAAGAACCCCATGAATGCCTGGTGTGTTGTACTACTCATTGATATCATCTCAATGGCCCTTGTTAGTCCCTACTCCTGTAATATGGAGGTAATACTTCTTATTAATATCATCTCAACGGCCCTTGTTAGTCCTTACTCATGTCATATAGAGGTAATACTGCTCATTTATACCATCTCAATGGTCCTTGTTAGTTCCTACTCTAAAATATGTAGAAAATACTACTCATTAATTTAACCTCAATGGCCCTCATTAGTCCTTACTCCTGTAATTTAAAGGTAATACTACTTATTAATATCATCTTAATGGTCCTTGTTAGTGTGGAAAGTGTGACTAATCTTAGACAAGATATAGGATCAAAGATAAAAGTAGGAATACATAAACTAAAAAAATCAGGGATGAAGTACACGCTGATAACGGTTTAAGGGGGAACAGAGCCTTCAATAGATTTGAAATCAAAAACTACAAACTGGTTTTTTACCTTCCTCACAATCAAACTGGATTACTCAGGGCAGCATGCTTAGCTGGTTGATCTTCTTTAAAATCTGTCCATATGGGAATACACATTAACAGTGAGGTATATCTCATACCTGTTACACTTACTCCCCCCATCTTCATCATCCTACCTCCTAAAAATACTCCAAATCCAACATGTCCTAAGCAGAGGCTGTGGGTTCCAAATCACTTTTTTGTTTGATCACCAGACGAAACTGTCAGATCTGTTATACAAGTGCAAAAGATATCGTATGTGTGGAACATATAACTAAAACTGGAGAGAAGTTAAAAGGAAACAAGAATAAGAAAGGAAATATAATAAATGGAAAGGAACTCTGAAAAAAGCTTAACACTATCAATATTTTTCCGTTAGCGATTGGAGACACCATTGGAGATCTCCTTTTCAGCTTTTGAAATAATTTGGAATAAATACTTAGAATGTGTGCACATGTCCTGCATAGAAAAAACACAATAATGCTAACACAGATCTGAGCTAAAAAAGAAAGCCTGCACTTCTTTAAGTTTAAAAAAAATATTTTTTTCCAAAATTGCTTGAAGGAACAGACAACAAAAGAAGAAAAGGAAAATAAGATAACAAGAAGAAGTATAATAAAATATTTATTTATGATCTGTACCCAATAATATAAAAATTCATCAAAAAATTGTTAAATTTAACATTTTGAAAAAATATGTAAAAAATACCTTGATCAAAATTTTGAAAATCTAAAATTGAAGTTCTTAATTTACAAGCCTAAAATAATAGCTAACATATAAGAAACTATTTATTATATATATATATATATATTCTTGGAAACATTTATTTTCCAATAAAAAGGAATCCAATAACAATTATTTTTATTTATTTTTCTTCATTGCCAATGCAAGATAAAAGAGAAAAGTTGTTTTTTGCAAATCATTTAAAGAAAGTTTTATGATTTTTTTAACACCATGTGCTATCAAATAAATAGATAAAAAATTTAAAATTTTGACTGTTATAAAGTTTGCCTTAGCTAATTCAATAAATTTACTATATAAATCTTCTACTGGGTTATCCTAATGTCTATATGTGTTTAGCCAATTAATGTCGAAACATTTGTACCAATTGAACACAATGTTTTCAGGGACTTCTTTGATTAAAATCCTTTTTTATATTTAAGCTGAGAGAAATGAAAGATTCTAGGGTGTGCATGGAAAACTGGTCCGGAAAATTTAGGTAAAAAGTCATCAATTTTTTTTAATTATCAAAATTGTAACTATTTCAAAGAAAATCTGAATTTTTTATTTTTTAGATGATTTTTGAGATTTTTAAAATATCAGATTTCATAGAATTCTCCTCAACACAAAACTGCCGCGTGGGAGGAAAATTCCATTAATATGATCCATTATTTGCAGTACAATGCACACTGTACAACGAATGTACAATGTTCAAAATTTAGATATGTGTTTGGAGTGGCCACCATCCTTGTCCAGCTAGTTCTACCAGTGGTGATAAGTGCTGTGGCGTACAGGTAACACTATTTAGAGGATTTCTTCTTGATTTTAACCAGATTTTCCTTTTGTTTTGATTTACGTTATTTACGAAATTATTTTGACGTCATATGCATAATGAATATTTTTAGGAAAATTTTAGTCCTGCTCCAGAAACATTCTTCAACTCTCAAACAGAATATGTCAAAAACATCTCATAAGTAAGTTTTTTTTCTCACAAATAATCAAAAGTATTCTTGTATACATTTAAAAAGAAAATATTTTTTTTTAGAATTCAACAAGAGAGACAAAGGAACAAGAGACGAACTCATATTCTCATCGCCATCTTGGTTAGATTATTTGTTTGAATTAGATTTTCTGTTTGTTTTCTTATAAACCTCCTTCAAATATCCTTCTCCATTCATTTTAAAGATTTCAACAAGTTTTCACTAAATACAATTTGGTTCTTCAAATAAACTTATTTATTTTACAAAATATTTAAAGTAATTTTTAGTAAAAATCAAACCTTAACTCGAGTTCGACAGTAAAAACTTTTGAATTAAAGGGGTTTATCTAATTCATCAGATTAATGCTTTTGGAAGGGAATAGCCTCGAGCTTATATTTGTTGTCTTAATTCAATCTAAATACTTGTATTTTAGGTTTTATTTGTAATCTGTTGGTTACCCCTAAACCTCATCAACCTTCTGGAAGATGTCGGAGTCAGACTCAGCTGTTGGAGGTAAAATGGCACCAACTATGTTTTATAAAATTGGCGGGAAAATAGACCCAGTAACTTTTACATACTTATGATGTAAAATAGTAAATTCGCAGATATGAGTTATTGAAAATCATAAAAATTTTAAATCTCATTCATACAAAACAAAAATAACATAAAAAAGTAAAAAGTATAAAATATCAAAAAAACACCTTACAAGTTTTGTTAGCTAGCCAGCTGACATAAAAGCAATCTTTAATTTGATCTAGATAGTGTTTAAAAACGACAAGTTTTGGCTAGATTTAATATGATTAGTGGGTGATTCTTGCTATTGTTATTAGACTGAATTTCTATTAAAAATTGAAATTGTTTAACGTTTGTGTGCTGACTTCTGTTTCGTACAAATAAGTTTTCTGTTTTTAGATACTACTTCTTCCTGTTTTTCTGTTTCCATATTCTTGCTTCATTCTCAGTGTGTATCAACCCAATCCTGTATGGTTGGCTCAACGCTAGCATTAGGTAAAGTAGATAATAAATGTTGTCTACCATTGATCAAGGGAAAATCCGGCAACTTGTCCCACTGTTCTATTAAATTAACACTAAGCGACAACTAGACCATGTTAATAAAAGATATTTTATTTTAATTAATTAGGCTTATAGGGCGCTTCGCGCCCATCTTCTAAATTAATTGTGAACATGTTCTCTATGCGTACATCGTAAAACAAAACAAAAATAATTCGCGGATTTTCACAAAAAATGTTGTGGATTTTCAAAATTTTCAAAAATTTAATGAAGATCGAATTTTGATGGAGACAAATATTTGAAATTTTGATCATTCATAAACCTTCCCTGGGGCTCCGTGAGGTTCCACAAAAAAATTGGGCCCGATCGTTTCAGCCGTTTTGACGTTTATTGGATACAAATAAACAAACAAACGAACAAACACCCAAACAGACAGACAAGCCAAATTTATATATAGATGAGCTTAACTTATTACTAAGCATGCAAATTGGATGTATACGAAAGAAGGAGTTTAGTTGGAAAACCCTATTTGGCAAACAACAAAAAGACCTCTTAACCTAAAATCAAAAAAGTATAATACGCATGAAACATGTTTACACAAGGGCGCAAACATTTTTAAATTTTGCAAGCAAATATTGACTATGTATATATTAAAGGAGATGTATCTTTTTGCCAGTTCCTTGCTGTTTTTTTTTGTTATAACTTTAAAATACAATTTAAAAGACGTTTTTACATTTTCAAAATTACATTTCAAAATTATTTTCAATGATGTCTTTTTTTTTGATTTTTTATTTGAAAAATTTCAAAAGATAACACTATTCTTTTTTAGATGCCTTTTCTTTAAGTGTCTAGTTTCATTATATTTTTAAAATGCATTATGAATGATAACCCTAATACTGATAATAATAGGGAGGAGATCGAGGACCGGCTGAACCGTTTAAAATCAGTATTCTGTGCACGGGAAGAACATTCTCAGGTAGATTTAAGAATTAAAGGATTATCACGCCACTAACTTTTTATTTAAAAAGTTTTTTTTTTACAAGTTAGACTGAGAATAATCTTTTTGAAGGACTATCTTTTTTCTTTTTAGAGTTTAGAGTTAAATCTCGTGATAGAAGGGAGGATAACACCTTCAATGAGGATCAGAGCAATTAATGCTGAGCAAAACAATTTAAACCATGTTTAAATCACTGTAAATAACATACTTTGAATTTAATTCAAACCACTGTGAATCAAAACTTTAAACCTGCAAATACTTCGAATGATGTTTAAACCACTGTGAATGAAACACTTTAAACCAAATTTAAACCACTGCGAATCAAACACTTTGAACCTTATTCAAAACATTGTGAATTAAACACTTTGAACTTTAATCAAACAGCTGTGAATTAAACAATTTAAACCATGTTTCGACCACTGTAAATCAAAAAAAACTTTTACCATGTTTAAACCTCTGTGAATAACAAACTTTATTCCATGTTTAGACCACTGTGAATAAAATTAAACCATATTTAAACCACTGTGAATCCAACACTTAAAATCATGTTAAAACTACTGTGAATCAAATGCTTTAAATCATGTTTAACCACCGTGAATAAAACAATATGAATCGAAATTAAACCACTGTGATTACATGGCACTTTAAACCATGATAAAATCACTGTGAAGTAAATCCATTACTTTATATCATGTTAAAACCACTGTGATTACATGGCACTTTAAACCATGTTAAAACCAACCATGAACCAATTTATTTGAATCGTGTCTAAACCACTGTGAATGATTTAAAATAGAGTTTATACATTATTTATTTTGATTAATAACCAGTAAATAATTACAAATATTCGTCAAAGTTTTAATATTAAACCACTGTTATTAATCAATACTCGAAAGATGGTGTTATTTATTTAGATCAAACTAAATCTAAAAATATTTGAACCAGTTTTCTCAAACCAAATCCAGTGTTTGATAAAACACCATAGTGATAAAAAACTATATAGTCTATATGTGATAACAAAATAAAAGTATCATTTAACATTTGAAAACAATACTCAAGCTTCAGTACTTTCTGTCTATGGAGTTCATTCATTTGTTCAATTTTGTAAAAAATTACAGAAATGATGTTTAACAACATTAAAATCAATCTTTAAAAAAAATGTCAGATATTCATTAAAATTATCAATTATATCTTCTTTTTTGTTAATGTATAAACAGATAACCTAGCTCATTAAAAGGAAAAACTAAATGTTTAGAAATATTCTACTCTTCAAATGAAAGTCTCAATTCGTGATAAAAAAACGAAATAAGTAACTTAAAATTAAAATGGAGTCAAAGCTGGTGTATGTAAACCTTGTAATACTGTAATAGCTGTCGTAGAATTCATTACATTTTATTAATACTAACATTAAACTTAAAGGAATTGAATCTTTGCAACAAATCCCAATTTTCTAATACATATATATCATCTACAACCAAATTATGTAAACCTTTGATATTTCAAACTTTGATTGTTTGATATAGCAGAAGTCATAGTTTGAAATATCTAAGGTCTACAACATTGGGTTGTTAAGAAATAGGGTTCCAAAAATCAGAGTTTGTGGCAAAGACTCAATTCTTTTCCCTGAAAAGAATCCGATTTAAGCTTTTAGAGCGACTTCAATATCAAAAGATTGGTTTTAAAACGGTTCCATTTCTGGTATACACAATGGCATACAATTTTGGTAACCGCCAAAAAAGTTTTTTAAAGCAAGTTTTCGGAAATAAAGTCCTAAATTTTTGCCCTAAAATAGTCCTGTGGAAAAAAGTCCTTGAACTAAAAAGTTTCTGGAGTCAAACCATTAAAAGACTTTATTTTCTAGGACTTATTTTCTGGTTCCAATATGATTTCGCATACAAAAAAAAATATTCCCGAAAAAAAATTCTTCTTTTTGTGAAAAATGCATTTAAACAAAGGATGTTTACAACCATGAAAAAAGGGGATTGATATTAAAAACATGCATAGAAGAAAATTACTTTTTATGAAAACGTCTCAGACTTGATCTCATTTTCAGACTTCAGACTTTTTTCTTAGTTTTTTTCTTCAGTCAATGCTTTGCTTAACACGTATGATATTGATGTAGTTCTGAATTATGTTGTTGCTAATTATGACCTTGTAAATTGTTGTTGTCAACAGCTCTTCAGAGGTGAAACCTTTTAAAATGTTGATATCAGGAACAATGCTTGATTTAGATCTTTTGTTAATCTACAGATTAATTTAATCTTTATTCGATATCACGTGAACAGTCAATTGAAAGCCAGGGAACTGTTCGGTAAACCAATGATAGAACCAAGCAATTGCAGACTTTGAGTAAATTCAAAGTAAATTTCAAGCGATCAGAACTATTGGTCTCCAACACAAAAGTAATTGCTCATGTCAATTTTTTAAATTGAAAATTAACGAAATTTCAAATAATCGTAAAATTTTCTTTACTTTAAAGGGTTTAAAAATTAAAAAGGTTTTCACTCTTAAAGGGTAAAAATTAAAATTGTAAACTTGTGATTTACTGTTGATACTGTTACCTGTTGTCAAAAAGTAAAAATATAAAAACGTAAAATTAAACAATTGAAATAATTATCCAGCTTCATATTATATTAATTGGTCAATAAGAAAGGGACTGTGTAGACCTAATTTAAAGTGTAAATTTATCTAAAATTGTATTGTTCAATTAATTGCCCGATTATCTTTAAAATATTAAGAACGATATTTTCGCTGTTTATGTTTTGGAAATAAATCAATTCTGTCCATTTTATTCCTTGTTTTGGAGTGCTAAGCACGGTACATTCCAGTTAATTTCATGTATCGGCTAGAATTTCTACTAGCCAGGGCAAGCAGTACAGTTCAAATACAGACTATATGAGACAAAACGGGACTGTACGCCAAATAAATGGTCCCCTTTTAGTGTAATATATGTGTACGTTAACAGTCCCTTTAAATAAAACAAAATCAGAAGATCACCATTAATCAACAATTCTGAAATGAAAATATTTAGATATATTTGATAAAATACAAATGTCTTAATGTTGTTAATAAAATGTGAAATAAACATAATTCACAAACATTGTGCAAATTTTTAGAGTTAGAAACACAGACTACACAGACTGCTAATACACTCTACCTGGATAGGCTGAGCAGCTGCAGGCCTATAGTGTCCCGGCACGCAATTCTACGGTTCCAAGTTATGTTTTTGACTGACATCTCACGGCCATTCGTTGCAATCAGGGGTTAAGTTTTACAACTTGTAAAGAGATACTCCAGTTTTAAATATAAAAAATAACGTTTATGAATATTTTCTATTTTTAAAGATTTAGCATTTCCTATTCAAAGGATCCTTAAATATCCCTGAATACAGATGTCTCCTGATTGGTCGTGTACAGTACTTGTACACAATAGAACATGCTGTGGAAAATATCACATATTATAGGTGTTAATCAATCTCTGTAACTTTCTTATCTCTGGTTAGAAATAAACAAGGAATAAAACATGAATAAAATTAGGTGTAATGCAGTTACTAGAAGAAATGTAAACACGTGCAGTGCTGTCCAGCTTTGTTTACATTACTCCCAGAAACTGCAGTAAACATTATTTTATGGTTCAGTTCCTTTTACATTCCTTGGTAATACAGATACAGGGTTTCCCACAAAGAATGAGATTATACAGACGAGTCTTTTTATAGCATTTTTAATGATTGGGCAAAGAAAGTAATTAGTATACCATTGCAAGGAGTCAAAAATATAAGAACACAGACAATGTGAATTTAGTACTGTCGTTTGTAAAGTTTCATTCTTTGTGGGCAACCCTATCACGGTAAACCAGAGGTCCTGGTTCAATATCCAGATAGTCCTAACGTTAGAACCCAGTTTCATCCATTAAATGTATGATTTTTAGTATTTGCTATTTTATATTTTTTATCTGGGCTGTATATTTTTAATATTTAAGTATATAAAGTCTATTACGCTATTTTTGACGGATTTGGAACGAGAGATAAAATTATAATTGAAAACATTCCGATAAAACAAGATGCATATCGTTGTAGTTAGTTTTACGTGCTGTATACCAGTGACCAAATTTAATTAATTGGAGAGATAGCTGAACCGCATTTCGCCGGTTAAAATCTTGAATCACTGATTCAAATCCTCATAAATCTTTAGCTTTGAAACGGAGATTCAAGAGTTGAACAGACTCTAACCATTCATTCAGCCACCCAGCTCAAATTCAGTAAATTCGGTCCCAGGAACTCCCATTTCTTTGTTTACAAAAAAGTGTACTGCAGGAGAAATATAAACAAACTCGGTCTTACCAGCATAAAAGTTTGTTTAAAGGAAGTGACCGGCTATGTGGAAAACTTCTTTTGGATTTATTTGAGACATACTAAACTTTTTAAAGATCTGTAAATCCCGAGTTTGAGCGCAAATTCGACGTTTAAAACTCCTACTTTGGGGGTGGATACGTTTTCGGAATTTCTTTTTTTATTTAAATTATTAAATATAGACGACATAAAATGTAAAAATATTCTACAATAAACTACAGACGTCATGTATAGGAACGTTGAGAAAATGAAAATTAATCTTATCATCGAAGTAATCTTGTTCAATTATTAGTTTATATTTTCTCATTATTCACAAAGATTTTTTGCATATTTTCTAGAATTAGTATTGAAAAGACAACATTTGAAGAATTTGAAGAAATCTGCGAATAAATTCAAAGAAATAAGAAATTCAATATAATAATAAAAACGAAATAATCGATTTTAGCATTGAACTCTCGGATGTATATTTTATCCTCCGAACTAATTATTGAATAATACGATTGGAACTCTCGGATATATATTTTATCCTCCGAACTAATTATTGAATAATACAATTGGAACTCTCGGATATATATTCTATCCTCCGAACACATTATTGAATAATACAATTGGAACTCTCGGATATATATTTTATCCTCCGAACTAATTATTGAATAATACAATTGGAACTCTCGGATATATATTCTATCCTCCGAACACATTATTGAATAATACAATTGGAACTGATATATATTCTATCCTCCGAACACATTATTGAATAATACAATTGGAACTCTCGGATTCAGCTGATTTCGCCTAAAAAAAATTATTTTTAGAAAAGTAATTTGAATTAATGTATAAGGGCGCCTCAAATATATGAACATTTTGTTCAAAGTTATGAAAAGAATGTTACTATTGTCTCACAAATTGTGATAAACCTAGCTGACATTCTGTATAAGTAATTTCTAACAGAATCTTCGTACTTTAGAAAATCTTTCAAAAAGTTATATATTACCAAAATATTTTTTTTTACAGTGTGCATAATAGGGGAGGAATGGATAATTCAGTTAGGGGATTAAGGGGGGGTGGTAATGGATGTAGGTGAGTGACATTTTTGATTGACCTGTTGATATTCACTTTGCATCTCTCTCTGTTTGTCCAGTTCGTCTCTACAGAATAAAAAATAGATTAAGATTAATATTTAAAGGGTCTAGAAACGTCTAGAGACGTTATATCAAGTCAACCTTTATTTATAAAGTTCACTTAAAAGCTATGTTTGATAAGTAATGAATGGACGTAAATTCATGTTTGTCTATTTTAAAACTAGATTTTTTTTATTGTGGTTACCCAGAAAATGGACGAAATTTTGCTACACAAGTGGCGAAAAAAAATGTCCAAATTAAACCTAAAAGCTTTTAAAAAATGACGATATCTTTCACTTTTTAAGTCAGATTGTGAATCGGACAATCCCATGAAACCATTGAGATTGATTTTTTTTATCAAAACCTATATGTTTTCTAAATCTGAAGGAAACCCCACCAGGAAGAAAACCTCAAAATTGACCCCTTTAGGGAGACAAAACAAAAAAATAGGGGCAAAAAAGCTTTATTGGAGGAGGTTGCTTATCTAAACCTGGAGAGTTTCTTTTCTTATCTAAATCTGGAGAATGCCTCTGCTGATCGTAACCTGGAGAATTCCCTTGCTTATCTAAACCTAGAGAGTATCTTTTCTTATCTAAATCTAGAGAATGCCTCTGCTGATCGTAACCTGGAGAATTCCCTTGCCTATCTAAACCTAGAGAGTATCTTTTCTTATCTAAATCTGGAGAATGCCTCTGCTGATCGTAACCTGGAGAATTCCCTTGCTTATCTAAACCTAGAGAGCATCTTTGCTTATCTAAATCTGGAGAATGCCTCTGCTGATCGTAACCTGGAGAATTCCCTTTCTTATCTAAACCTAGAGAGTATCTTTGCTTATCTAAATCTGGAGAATGCCTCTGCTGATCGTAACCTGGAGAATTCCCTTGCTTATCTAAACCTAGAGAGTATCTTTTCTTATCTAAATCTGGAGAATGCCTCTGCTGATCGTAACCTGGAGAATTCCCTTGCCTATCTAAACCTAGAGAGTATCTTTGCTTATCAAAACCTATAGAGCGTTTATTTGCTTATTAAAATCTGGAGAGTTCCTTTGCTTAATTATCGGAACCTCTATTCTTATCTAAACCTTTATAATTGCTATTCTTATCTAAACCTTTATAGTTCCTATTCTTATCTAAACCTTTATACGTCCTATTCTCATCCAAACCTTTATAGTTCCTATTTTTATCTAAACCTTTATAATTCCTATTCTTATCTAAACCTTTATAATTGCTTTTCTTATCTAAACCTTTATAGTTCCTATTCTTATCTAAACCTTTATAATTGCTATTCTTAACTAAACCTTTATAGTTCCTATTCTTATCTAAACCTTTATAGTTCCTATTCTTATCTAAATCTTTATAGTTCCTATTCTTATCTAAACCTTCATAGTTCCTACTCTTATCTAAACCTTTTAAGTTCCTATTCTTATCTAAACCTTTATAGTTTCTATTCTTATCTAAACCTGGTAAATTCCTATTTTTACCTTATCTAAACCTGGTAAATTCCTATTCTTACCTTATCTAAACCTTTATAGTTCCTATTTTTATCTATACCTTTATAGTTACTATTCTTATCCATACCTTTATAGTTCCTATTTTTATCTAAACCTGGTAAATTCCTATTCTTATCTAAACCTTTATAGTTCCTATTCTTATCTCAACCTTTATAGTTCCTATTCTTATCTATACCTTTATAGTTACTATTCTTATCTAAACCTGGTAAATTCCTAAGCTATTATTTACCTGGAGATCGGCCATAAAAATATCTTAACCTTGGAGAATTCTTATTCTTATCAATATCATGGAGAGTTCCTAATGCCTGAGTGTTGAGAGTTCCCAAGCCAATAACTCTATCAAGATTGAGAGGGGGGGGGGGGTATTTTCCAACCCTACTGTGATTTTTCTTGATAACTTAAAAACTGCTTACACTGTACTAGAAACCTCAAACTTCTTCACTTTTCTAACTCCATAGTTGTGAACCAATTTTGTTATGCATGGGGTAGGGTGGATGACGGTAAAACGGCTGGTCGGTGTTCCAAAGAAGTCAAAAATAGTAAATAACTTTTTTATCATTAAAGCTACAGATCTTATTTTTTTTGAAAAGCCTTTAAAAAATTTATGTTTTAGCATTTGTCACATTATGATAAATAGGTCATAGGTAAAAATCAACATTTTTTCGACGTCCTTTTGAAATTTGTATACCCTCCCTAGCACCCAAATCAATATATTATTAATGAGCAGGTCTTGAAAAGTTAAACTTTGGACATGCATTACACTCCTCTGTCTTAACTTTAAGGGTAAATCATAAGGGGGGAACACCCCCCCCCCCCCGCAATATATATATAATCGGTATAAGGTTAACAGTCTACATATTTTCTGAGAATTAATTTGCTTACCTAAGCCTAGAGAGTTCCTGGTTTAGTGCCTCCTCTCTAGCTCTCACTGCTAACTCTGCCTCTAACATTATTTCCTGAAAAATAGATTGAATTTAAAAAAATGTTATTAATGATAATGCTAATGCAGGCAAAAAATGGGTAAACAGTTTAAAGGTCGAAAAAGCATGAATTTCTGTTTGATATAAAATGTAAAGGAGTTGAGTCTTTGCAACAAACTCTGATTTTCTAAACTCTATATCTTTAGATTCCAATGTCGTAGACCTTTGATATTTCAAACTATGAGTTCTGTTAGATCAAATAATATAAGTTTGAAGTATTAAAGGCTTACAACATTTGGTTTCAAAGATATAGGGATAAGAAAATCAGAGTTTGTGGCAAAGAATCAACTCATTTGTTACATATTTTAATATTGTCAAATTTAATTGAAAACAAATCATGTTGTTGTTAAAAAAATCGGTTTTTTATTGTTAGAATTGAAGAAAAGTTTCTATTTTTCAATCTTGATTTGAAAGAAATAAAAAAATCATTTTTTGATATGAATGATGTTAACATCCTATCAAAAGTAATTTAAAAAAGGGACCTTAGATTGCTCACTGAAAGCTAGAAATAAATTTAATTTATATCTACAGAGTAGTGTATAAACATAAACAAGATGTTGAATAGGTATAAAGTATATTGGCAGTAAACTAGAATATTGGATTTCTTTAAAGGATTGTAAAACACAGGACTTACACTGTTTAAACTGCTATTTCATGTTACTATGTTATTTTTAAGGAAATGTTATCATAACTAATCTCAATCTTATGTTTAAACTAATTTAATTCTTCCTAAATATCACCTGGTAGTCATACCCTCGTGTATCAGGCATTTATCCTCATATATAAAAGTAGTCAAATTGGATATCGATATCATGGGTTAAAGATGAAAGATACTTCAAACAAAAGTTCTGATTTCGGGACAGTAAAATATTTGTTAAACATTTAATTTTAGTGAATACTTTTTGAGTATATTATACCTCAGTATCAATTATAAAATGAGGATGAGGAACAGATTCTTTTTTCTCTTTTCCTTGTTTTTTGCCTTCTTCCGGATTTTTAGAACTCCTAAAGATATGAAATTACAAAAAGTGTTTAAAAGTAAGAAATACAACATTAATGCGACAATGCGAAAAGCAACCATTTGTAAAATGAAGAAAATTATTCGTTAATTAAACTTCATAAATTGTCAGGGTGCTTCTTTACACATGAAGACTGTAAGCGTAAGTGTAATTTCAAGTGACCATCCTGCCTCCACACTCTTAATTAAAATCAAAATTAGTGATTTTAAGGACAAAAATTCGTTTAATAAACGATTTGTAGTTTGTATGCATGCAAAGATGGCATTGCCCAATTTACAACGGTACCCTCGAAAGCTTTGTCTGATCAAGTATAAATTATATATCTTTTACAGTTCCGAGCTGAAAACTTTAGAATGGTGGATATCGGGATTAAGGCTTAATCCACTCTTTTTCTTAATCTGCAGATTAAATATTGCTTGTTCTCCACTCATTTTTAATCTCCAGATTAATTATCCGATCAGAATTAAGGATATCCCATTCAAAAGTTCCCATCTCCGATCAAATAACGGCTTTTAGAATAACTTTGTAAATCGGTCATGGCCATCTTTGTATTAAGAGTCCTTTGGAACTGCGCTTACAGTCCTTTTAAGACAAAAAATAATTTGGCTTTAATTTCAACATCAAGTAGCTAGTGAATTGATGAGCAAGTGTGAGACGACATCATTATGTGGTTCACATAGAATTAGGTATTGTATTATCGATAGTAGCTCCGGCGAGGTTTAAACGTGTGGAATAGTTCCGAAAGAAGGAGTCTGCAAAGACGACTTGAAACTCTTTAAATATTACGATCCTAAGTTTAAATTAAGTCTTTTGTCTTGATTACATTCTTTTTAAGGCTTATTTAATAAGGTGTCTATACAGTTGCAGGGAATCATGAATGAGGAAACAGACAGATACATTACGTACAGTCGTCTTAAAAGTCTCATGCGTTACGGTTAACTCTGAATTAAAAGGAACTTGCATTTTAGGGATAAATCAATCTTTAAAATTGACTGTGTGCATACCGTACACAACTTTGTATGGAAAGCTTAGAATCATGCAACCATTATTTAGTATAGATGTACAATAAGTTTTACAGCCTCAAAGGGAGTGAACAGCACTGCACAGAGGGATTGTTGAGCTAATACTCTAATATTTTATGATACAATCAGGATTCATTTAGTATTAATGATATGTTTCTACATTATAATTGCTACTGAGAAACTTAAAACAATTATAAACAGGTCATGAAGCGTATTTGCAAAGGAGTTGAGTTTTTGCCACAAACTCTGATTTTCTAATCTCTATATCTTTGTAACCCAATGCCGTAGACCTTAGATATTTCAAACTATTAATACTTAAAGATTAAATAAGCTAAGTTTGAAATATCAAAGGTTTGCACCATCAGGTTGCAAAGATATTGGGATCAGAAGATTTGAGTTTGTGGCAAAAACTCAATTCCTTTACAATCATTTAATGATCCTAACAAAAGTCATAAAATAAACTATACTTTTTAAACTAATTTTGATTAACACAATTATTTTTTAACGCAACAGCATACAAATACTACTTTCCCTCGTGCAGTGTTAACAGGGGTTTCAGTTTTTCTGAAAAACGTCCCGATCGAAAAAATGTAGAAAAAAAAGGAGAACGAAAGGTCGTTTTTAATATTGTCGTTCCTTTTTTCGTTTTTTTAAAAGATCAAAACGAATAGTTTGTTAGTTTTTACCCTTATTTTTTTCTCTGAAACGAGGGTCGGCTAGATTTGATAAATAAAAAATATTCGATAAACCATAGTTTTTCCATTATTTTTAAAACGATTAGCAACTTCAAGAGGATTATCTAAATTCTTTCTGAAATTAGTCAGTTAATCCATAATTGTTTTCCATTATTTTAATTTTTAGACGTTAAACATTTATTAACATTAACATACTTTTTCCTTGTCAAATTAGCGTACTCGTTTTAACAAAATTAAATCTTTGATATATTGATCGAACATTTATTGATGTTAAATATTGGTCAAGTTTTTATCAATGATTTTTGATTAATGATAAATATTGATTGATCTTTGATTATTGATTAATATTGATTGAACTTTAATTAATGATCAATATTGATTCAGCTTTGTTTAATGATAAAAATTTATCGAGTTTTGATTGATGATCAATATTGATTGAGTATTAATTAATCATCAATATTGATCGAGCTTTGATAATTGATCAATATTGATCGAGCTTTGATTATTGATCAATATTGATCGAGATTTGATTATTGATCAAGCTTTTGATTATTTTCAACATTGATCGAGCTTTGATTATTGATAAATACTGATTGAGTATTGATTAATCATCAAAATTGATTATTGATCAAAAAACATTTGAACTTTGAAAACATATAAAAAGATGAATTTCTGAAAAAATGGAGCAAATTATTAAAACCCTTTTTACGATTAAAAATGATATTTTTATACTTCGTTTTCCTTGTAGTAATCAGTATTCTATTTATATATGTTTTAATAGTTTAACAAATTAGCAAATAAGAATACACAAACAAATATGTTTTGTGCCAATGGTTGATTGCCAGAATGCGCGTAATCTGTTTTTAAGGATCGAATTTGATGAATTTAAAAGGTTGCTAAACTGCCTAATGCCGATTCAAATCCTGTTTCACCGATTCAAATTCTCACTAAACTTTAACTTTGAATCAGGTGGATCCCGATTCAAACCAGTGATAGGTGGTTCAGCAAACATTCTCTAATTAATTAAATTCTCCTGTGAACAACAAATCGGAAAAAAATAACATTTTTAATGTTTTTTCTAGTTTAAACTTAAAACATAAAACTTACCTTGGTGATTCTTTCGGTGCTTTTTCCTGTAAAAAAAGTGTTGTTCAAAAGTGTTAAAAATTCCCTCGAAGGGAACCCGTTGTTAATTGAACGTGACACTCCATAAGTGGAGGGGCATACGTGTACAGTTCTTATTTATAAGAAATATGTCTATATGAAAAAGAATAATACAGATAAAGAAGGATATATAAAGATAATAAAATAAAATATGTGAAGAGTATAAAATAATAATAATCTGGCTCTAGCTTACATCTTGGTATTCAGAGATACTATGAAACAATATATTTTATATATCAAATATATATGATTATAAAATACGCATAATTAGATAAACTTAGCTTCAAAAATACAAAATATAAATCAGAATAAACGGTTAAATTCTTCATAAAATAAATACGTAGTTTAAGTTTACCATTAATGTTGAAAAAAATGTGTTTCATCAAAATATGCCTTAATTTTGGATTCAAATCAATAAAACCCTCTCAACAGGATGAAAATTGCACCTTTACTGTACGACTATAGGACGTACAGAGTACGTACGTGAACCATTTTTTTAGATTTCTTTTAATATTTACATTTACAATTTTTATAATAATGTGAATACTAAACTTTTTGTTTGAAATCAATCTTACTTCAATATTTTTAAAATTTTATCCAAGATTATTATCCAAAGGCCCAAGGCTGAAAACTTTAGAATAATGGATATCGAAATAAATACTTGATCTCATCTTTTTTTCTGCAGATTAATCTAATCTTTATTTGGACATTAAATTCAAACGATTCAAATTCAACAGATTATCAGAGTGTCACTTGGATAAACCGATCATCCAATCTAAGGCCAAAAGTAAAACATTTTGCAGACAATCAATGGGAAAAATCTTTTGGGTCGGAACCCAGCAGGGATATCCAAAAGAGAGGATTAAGCAGAAAATCAAAAGTGTTCACAGTGGATATTGAGATTAAGCAAACGAGATTAAAGGTATCTATTACAAGAGTTTCTAGCTTTCATGAAAGATGAAAACCAAAAAATTAGATTTAAAGTAAAAAGGAATTGAGTCTTTGACACAAAAAAAAATATTTTTTAATCCCAATATCAACACGATAGTAAAAACCTTTGATATTTAAATTTAGATTATTTAATCTAACAGAATTTAGAATTACTTTGTCAAAGCTCTGAAGGCTGAATATGTAACTAGAACACTAACAAGGCATAAAAGTAAATATTGTTGACGATGAAATCCCCGAAAGAGGATTATGAAATCCACAAATCAGTGGATCTTGGAACTAGAGAAGACCTAGTCAATCTCTTCTCCTTTTATACACTCGTTATTTATCATGTAATTATATCTAGAAGCAATAAATGTACTTCTATAATTGATATTGATATTTTTCAATTAAACAACTTACTTTGTTCTCCTCTTCATGCTCTAGCCTTGCCTTCTTTTTCCTTCGCTTTCTCTACAAATACTTTAGATAAAATAAATAAAACAACTTTTAATTTATTTCTTTCAAACTTTATTATCTTTATTTACAGTTTTCAAAAGGATTGTCAATGGAATCCCAAATGACCTTTTAAGTTAAAGGCAACCAAATACAATTCTTAACCCTATTCCGACTGGGGCCGGGGGGATGTTATTGAGACACCTTTCCCCCCCCCCCCCCTTCTATAGTTTTCTTGCGATAACTTAAAAAGTTTTCTAACTAACACATGATCCTCACTTAAGGCTAAAAGCTGGAATTTTTACCTACTTCCTTTATTTACTGCCTTTACCCATACCAGGCTAAATTTAAATTAAACCTACTTCCAGTCAGTAGATTTCACCGTGAATTTTTGCCAAGAAATTTTTAGTTTTTCTTAATTAAAAATTTAGGGTTTGGAAAATTTTGCAAATATTTTTGCATAGATAAATTTGCAAGGGCGTTTAAATTTTTATTTTTATTTTTGTACTTTTTTGCTAAATATCTGGATTTTGCAATAAATATTTCGATTATTGCAAAATTGCAAGAATTTTGCACATTATTGTTTTAATTCCCGTTATATTTTTTTTTCTAAATAACTTTAAAACGGCTTACATTATAGAACGCTAAAACCTCTCGACTTTTTCAACATAATAAATGTAAACAAATTTTGATTTTTTCAAACAGCAGGTCGGTGTTTTAAAAAAGTCATAAATCCTTAATATTTTTATTTTTATTTTTGAAAAGTGGATGTAATCGCATGTGTCACATATTACTGTTTGTCAAAATTAAAAATAATTATTTTTGAACATTTTTCTGACGTACTTTTTGCACTTTTTAAAATCCTCCCTTGCACCTTATAAACTATTAAAGTTGTAGGTCTAATGAGCAGGCCTTGAAAAGTTGGACTAATGACATATGCATCTCAAATATTAGGGTAAAATCGTAGGGGGGAGGGGGTGATGTTTTCCACTCCATTGCCTATGATTTAGCGGTATATTAGACAAAAATAGCCCAGCCAGGATAGGGTTAAGGAGACTAAAATATGAATGTTTAATTTTAAGCTCTGAACTTCTGACAAACAAAAAACGTAACGATGAAATTAAAGTTTTAAAGAAAAATAATATTACAGTTTGAAACGATTTGATTTCATAATAATGTTTTCCGACCTAAAATTGATTTTAATATGGTTGGGTAGGTCGTTGAAGGAGGGTCGCTGTCAACAATCGTTAGACGTTAACGAATTAAATAACAATTTCTTCTTTTTTTTATTTTAGAAAACAATCCTTGTTAAAAACGATCCGTCATAAAAACTATTGGTTAGTTTTTCTTTTCTTCTACGTCAATAACGAAACGATCAATTCTATTTTTTTTAAAAGTGAAAAACTTCCACCCCTACCTATAGCCTTTGTGTTACCTTTTTCCTTGATTCTCTTGTTTCTGCATCCTAAAATTAAATTCTATTACATAAATGTTGAGAATGAAAACAGTTTTTTTGCGTATTAAATAAATTCTAATTATGAATTCAAAATCCAAAACTTACTTAATTAAACATTTTCATGAAGAAAAAAAAATTAAATAATTGTTCAAAAACAGCCATTTTAATTTTTTTGTGCATCATTACCAGAGATTGAAACTTTTTAGAATTGCAATGAATTAAAAAAAATGAATGAAGAATACATCTTCAAAAAAAAAATTCTTCTGATTAATTGAAGGCACATCAAATATATTTACTAAGGAATTGAGTCTTTGCCACAAACTATGATTTGCTAATCCCTATATCTTTGCAAGCCAAAGTCGTAGACCTTAAATATTTCAAACTATCACTTTATGTTAGACCAAATAATCTAAGTTTGAAATATCAAAGGTTTTAATTAAAAAGCTGCAAAGTTATTGGGTTTAGAAAATTTGGGGTTGTGGCAAAGACTCAATTCCTTTGAAATTTTTATTAATTTTCAAGAAACTTTTGTTTGTTAACAGTGGGGTAACAAAGTTAATGTAAGACAATAAATATTTGTTTTATTTTTATCATTTTTCGACGCATTTACAGATCCAATAAAATTGTAGAACCTACTTGAAGTCGTATACTATAGGGCATAGAGAGGAGAATGTATACTATCTATTTACTTATATTCATGATTACCTGCAACTGCAATTTAAAAAGGACCATTTAAAGCAGAAAATTAGATCTAGTCATGGAATCATCATATTTTAAAAGTTTAAGGTCGTCTTTACAGTCACATTATTTTTGGGTAAATCTGTAAAGTGCATGTCTATGCTTGGAAAATAAGCTTTGTTAATAAGAAACAAAATAAATGAAAGAGAAATATTTGTTTATAAAAGAAATCATTGTTACTTAACCTCCAATTCTGCTCTTAACCAGTCAGGAACAAACGAATTTTCTGTAAAAAAAATAAAATAAAAAATATGCTTCATAATAAAACTCTTCTTCATATTTACAATTTCATAAGAAAACAGTTTTTTAAAATTGTATTATCTTCCCTCCCCCCTCTCTCATCTAAAAATTTTGACAAAATAGCTTAACTGGGATAGGAATTGAAGAATTTTAGTTTTAAAAACTTCAAACAAAAGCACTGAGTTTTTACTACAAACTTAAACTGTATAAATCCCTATAACTTTGCAATCTGATATCGTAAAAACAATTTATAGTTTGAAATATAAAAGGTCCACAGCATCCTATTGCAAAGATAAATTGTATTCAACAAATCAGAGTTAGCGGGTAGAACTTAGTTTTGAATTATGATCTTAAATCATCTATTACCCAAATTTTGTCTCTCTTTTTCTCTGTCATCATCATAAACATAATCCTCAGCATCATCATCATCATCATTTTCTTCACTACCAATCTTCTCATCAGTTTCCTCAGAAACTTCCTTAAAATAGTTTAACATGAATTGAAAGTATTACACATGGACTGAAAATAGTACAACATGGACTGAAAATAGTAAAACATGAACTGAAAATAGTACAACATGAACTGAAAATAGTACAACATGAACTGAATATAGTACAACATGAATTGAATATAGTACAACATGAACTGAAAATAGTACAACATAAAAACTCCAGTTCATCTGAAGTACCATGCCGACCTTTAATCATATGAAGTGGTTTGTAATATATACAAATAGTCCAATGAACATAAAAAACACCATGGAGTGTAAACAGAACCATTTACCTTAATAAGTGATTTAAGATAAGTTACTTGTAAGACAATTTGCTTAGTAACAACATCAAACACAAATGATTACTATAATGTCGTCAAACCTATTCTACAGTTTTCTGGTTCTCATTGTACAGTGCATTATACATACAGTGATAACAAGAAAACTTCGAAATAGGAAAGACAACTTTTAAACTCTATGACTTTGAATAGCCCAATTTTGAGAAGTGTAAACAGAACCATTTCACTTAAATCACTAGATTTTAAGTAACACATAGTTTTAGGAACAAAATAAATCTTTTCTGAGTTTACTTGTTATTATTTTAAAATCACAAAATTATGACAAATTATAATTTCCAATTTAAACCTGAATTTGTTGCATTATTGTCCTGGGTAGAGGACATGTTGTAGTTACAACCAGGAAATATACAATATTATTGCACAGGACATGTTGTAGTAACAACCAGGAATATAATCTGATTCTGAAATATACAATATTATTGCACAGGACATGTTGTAGTTACAACCAGGAATATTTTTTGATTCTGAAATATACAATATTATTGTACAGGACATGTTGTAGTTACAACCAGGAATATATTCTGGTTCTGAAATATACAATATTATTGCACAGGACATGTTGTAGTTACAACCAGGAATATATTCTGATTATGAAATATACAATATTATTGCACAGGACGTGTTGTAGTTACAACCAGGAATATATTCTGATTCTGAAATATACAATATTATTGTACAGGACATGTTGTAGTTACAACCAGGAATATATTCTGATTCTGAAATATACAATATTATTGCACAGTACATGTTGTAGTTACAACCAGGAATATAATCTGATTCTGAAATATACAATAATATTGTAGAGGACATGTTGTAGTTACAACCAGAAATATATTCTGATTCTGAAATATACAATATTATTGCACAGGACATGTTGTAGTTACAACCAGGAATATATTCTGATTCTGAAATATACAATATTATTGCACAGGACATGTTGTAGTTACAACCAGGAATATATTCTGATTCTGAAATATACAATGTTATTGTACAGGACATGTTGTAGTAACAACCAGGAATATATTCTGATTCTGAAATATACAATAGTATTGTACAGGACATGTTGTAGTTACAACCAGGAATATATTCTGATTCTGAAATATACAATAGTATTGTACAGGACATGTTGTAGTTACAACCAGGAATATATTCTGATTCTGAAATATACAATAATATTGTACAGGACAAGTTGTAGTTACAACCAGGAATATATATGCTGATTCTGAAATATACAATATTATTGTCCAAGGTATAGGACATGTTTAGGGCTGGGCACTTTGCGACTTGCATTCTTTTTGCACCATGACGTAAAATTTTTAAATATTTTTTAGTTTACATGAAAATAATCAATAGAAATTATAAAATCATTTTTTATAATAAAAAAACTTTTAGATTTATGCTTTTTAGTAAAATTTAAAAAACATATTAAGAAATGTCTATTGTTTATGAACAAAAACTAATTCACTTAAAAATCAAATAAAAATGTACAATATGCAAAATCAAAGTTTGCCTAATTAATTTATAAAACTTTTTAAATGATAATGTTTTTACCTGACAATGTAGACTAGTAAGTGTTATCGTATGCCCACGTTCCAACTAGAAAATTATATTGTTGATTTTACTTGAAGAAACGTACCTTTTTCATTTGAACATATTAGCTATAAAATAATATTGGATATTAGATTTAATTTATAATGTTAAATGAATGAAGAATTATTTTAAAATGATTTTAATTTGTTGTAAGTTGTAAGTTTTTGTAAATAAGCCAAGCCCCGGGGTAGAGTTGGACAAATGTTTCTAAATAAACAAAAATTTTCGTGAATTCAATGGTGTTTTCAGAAAAGCTACAAAAACGGTGAATAAAAAAGTTGAATTGTTTAGTGAAATAAAAAAAACATATAGTTTTATTTTACTAAAAATAGGAAATAAATCAAAAAACGCAGGTTTTGAAATCGTTAAAGATTTTTTAATGAACAAACAATTTAACTGAATCAACAATCTCACTGAACAAACAATTTTCTGAACGGTCATACAGTTTGAAAACGAACAAAATAAATGGAAAATTATTGATATTTTGGAAACAAATGATATCAAGTTTTTTCTAAATGACTGAAAGAAAACGAACAAAATGTGTCCTTAACAAACGATAAACAAACGAATTTTAAAAAAAAGCTGTACAAACACATCTGTGCCTAGGGACCAATATTGAAATATTGAAATAATTCATATTTTTTTCTTGATGTAGGAAAAATAAAATGATTTTTTGCGTATTTAGACATAAATTGTAATAAGAATAGTGGATTTATTTAACATGAAGTAAACTGTTTTACAAGAAAAAAAACTTAATTTTTTATCTTTATCATACAATGTTCACTTAATTAAGTATTAATGAACCTTTTTAAACCTTAAACCTTATTAATTATCATAGAGAACAATGCTAATTAAAAGAAATTTTTAAGAAAATGTTTGCCTGATGTACAAAATTGAGTTTATTGGACAGACCATCCAAAATACAGGGGTTACTAAGAAAGGACTTCTAAGACAACTATACGGAATATATAATGTGTTTTTCCTTTTATTCAATTTTCCCTGCGACTGTAAACTTATTTCTTTCTTTGTCATATTATTAATTAAGACTTGAAAGCCATATATAAGGCAGAATGAATAATTTAATCTCAGGACCGTCATATTTTTAGAATTCCAGAGTCTAAAACTAAAGAATGCGCTAAATTTAGGTTCTAGCTTAAAATTCTAAAAAATAATGAGTTGCTACTTGAATAGTTTTCATGCATAGAAATATCACAAAATTGAATGCGGTTTTTCGGGGTTTAAAGTCAGAAGTGGCATTGAAGCTGCAACTTAACATTTTAGTCATAAAATTTCATTCTTTAGTTTTGGACTCAGGTTGTATTTAAATTCTCATCCTTAAAGGACACAGATAATTGAAGACATTTAGAAATTTTGTAAGTTAATTGTAAACAAGCAAAAAATTAATTTAAAGTGTAATGATATAAATGTGACTATTAAAAAGTATTTTGCAAGTAAAAATCACAAACCTGCTTTTATATGAGGTTTTACAAATTTAATTTTACAAATTTACCCCTTGATACGATTATATCTCTTTTTTTACTTTAAAACTAGATTATTGAGTAGATACAGTGTATAAGTCTAAATAATTATGTCATGATCTAATTAATGAACTAATAAATTATTAACCTGTGTATCTGAAGCATAAAACGCCAAAATTTCTTGAGGCTCCAGTACCACATCTTTTAGAGTTATACTTGACTCATGACTAATCAAAATAAAAGCTAATTGAGATTAGTTAGGCTTTAAATCCTCATTTCTTTATAAAAAGCTAGTTTTTTGACATGCAAACTAATTTAAGCAGCTTTTTACAAAGGAATGTCATTGATTCCGCAAAACTTTCAGAAAATGTTGAGTCCATGGAAACTTAACCCCCCCCCCCTCCCCCAGGGATTTAATGAAAAACTCGTTGGCTATGCTCTTAGGTGTAAATTATCATAGTTGCCATTGATTATAATTATTCTGATTCAGTAAATGATACATTTTGTTTTAAAGTCTTTCCAATGTAAAATTGAATATTATTTTTGTTAAGAATTCTAATTCTTAAAATTTTGAAAAAAATACTGTTATTCATGTATACACATTAAATTATTTAAAGGAAAACATTTTTTCCTCAACTTTAATATTCTAATCCTTAGTTTAACCAAATGGTGTAAACCTTCAAAATTTTAGAATTTAAATACTTGATCCAGCAATTAACTCATAGTTTGAAATTTCCAAGGTCTACAATATCACATATCAGGAAGCTAAGTAAAAGAATAAGAAAATTACAGCTTTGTTAGGATTTGTCAGGTACTTCATGCACCATTTATTCATTGTATAAAGTAAAAAAAAAAAAATTCTTACAGTGCGGACAGTGATGGAATTCTGTTATTGGATTCTACCTCTCCAGCCTCATTCATATTTGCTCCCTGAATATATATTATTCAAATATTTTTAAAATCATTTAATTCTTGTCAAAAACAGATTTTGATGTTCTTAATGTACAAGCACATTTCAAACAGGGCTTTCAACAAATATCAATCTTAAAATATGGTTTTTCTAATTTTCTGCAAAATTAAAAAAAAAACATCTAAATAATAAATGATAACAATAAAAAAGTTTTAACAAGCTTTTTCTCAAAAATTTTGGAATTTCTCACCTTCAAATCAGTTCAAAGGTTTAGAACTTACCATTTTGAAAGAATTTAAAAATACCTTGATGGATAACAACTTTTACTTTAAAATTACATAATCTCATTTTTAAAATAATGACTAACTTAACTACTGACATGTTCTGAAAAATAACTTACTCTGAAAATGTTTGTGTCTAGTTCTGCCTGATTCAACTCCTCTTGGGTTGGAGTTGATTGTTGAGAGCTGAAGGAGTTATGAAATGCATCCTAAACAGGGTGGAGGCCGAGGGTCAATTTTAGATATTGTGAATTTAATTAAAAGTGAAATGTATTTAAAAGTGAATTGCTTGAAAAAAAATGTTTAAGCCAAAAGCTAAAGAAACATTGCATATTTATCAGAAAACAGTTCAAAATATGATATGTATGTAGGTCTGTTAGTTCTATATTTAAAACAATTATTGAAAAAATAAGTTAAATTACATATCAAGACTGAATTTAAGGAAAATAACATGTTTTTCTTAATTCAAATAATGAATTCCTAAATCTACATAATACGTATAATTTAAATGTGAAACAGGAAAATAACCAAAATAACGCCCAGCTAACATTCATTTAATAACTGTATCATTCAAAGAGAACTTTATCAGGATAAGTATAAACTTTAATTTCATAAAATGAAATAATAAATATAAAGATAGAATCAAAACCTATATAAAGTAGGATGAACATCTTCTTTGTTTATTTTCTTAGTAGTTTTCTTGAACCTGAGCTGAAAACTTTTGAATGAGATATCCTTAATCCCGATTACTTAATCTGAGTATCCATTGGACACACTTTTGATTTTCTTCTTAAACCACTCTTTCTCAGATAGAGTAGAGAAAAATCAAAAACCGGTTTTTCTAAATTAGAAAGTCCCTTCCGTTTCTGTATATATAATCTTACTTGGCGCACAAAATTTCAAATTTATTGGCTTTATATACTCAACTCTGATTGGTTGAGTTTTATACACTTTTCGGGGATACAAGTACAAGATTAGGTTAGTCTCGATATTAAGAAAAGCGAGGATCAAGCATTCATCTTGATATTCACCATTCTAAAGTTTTCAGCTCAGTTGTAGTTAGTTCAGCAACAAAGCTTTATTTCATTAAGTTTGTTCCCAGTTGCAACACACTGCTTCTAATTGCCCCTTGTTATAAATATACCTGTGTAGATGGTCTTGTTACTGAACTAATATTCCTAGTCCCCCAGAAATGCAGTACATTATCCACAGTACAGACTAGAGTAAATGTGGAACCACAAGCAACTACTCCCCCAATACGATTCTAAAATAGATTATTTGTTGATCAATGTACATATAGCTCCTACTCATGTATCAGTGAATATGGAACATGCATCATATTGCTCACATATTAAAAAATGCATACTTGCAATATATGCATCATTTTTGTTTATTTATGTTTAGTTTTTGTTGTGGAGATATAAAAGGATAATACTTTTACATTCATTTTTCTAAACATCTTTTTGGATTTATAAAAATATTTTTTTTAAATTAAGATTTCTAGAATTTTAAAAATATTATTTTATTTGAAATATTTGTAAAAGATCTAAAAGGTGTAACCCACATATCCCAAAGAAACACTTGAAACCAGATGTATGAAACCATATATGTACAATATTTATGAAAAATTTTCAGATATATATTAATATAAATATTGTTCAGAAACTTTTAAATTATTATTTACTGCTCTAATCTTTTCTAAGAAAAAGTCACATTTATTTTACAAAATGTCCAATAAAATAATGAGCTTAAAATTTCCGTCAACAGTGAATCTTTTAATTACAAAATTCAGAACGAACTAAAAAATTTTCTTAACCTGCATATAGGGTTTCCACAAAACAGTAGATTCTCTTATGCAACAGCTTTGCGTTTTTGCACAAAATGAATTTTTTTGCATGTTTTGCATGAAATTTGCATCATTTTCATATCGATACAAAATAAGGTTTACACAAAATTGCGCATTCGTCCGAAATAAATATTTTTTTTTTGCCCACAATTTTGGATAAATGCACAATAAAAGTCATAATTGTGCAAAATTTGTTGCATGAAGACGAAAATAAGTAATAGTTGTTTCATGACATATTGCAAATATAAAAGATTTAAATATCTGGACAGTATGACGTGAATTAGTTTCATTGAAAACAACTTCCATATCTGCAGTATTTTCTACATGAACAAAAATTCATTATTATCATTTTCTATAGTTTAGAAAAAGTAAAAATGTTTGTTACTTTCTATGCTAAAAATTTGTTATGATAAATATGTTTCGAGAAAACGCTGAAAAGTTATCACTGAATGTTAGTCTCATCTATGAATTTATAATCTATATAGATTTGTATACATTTCTCTTGTTTGGATGTACGTTTGTTTGTTACTCATCTCCTATTCAACTGTACCAAATTGTCTTAAAATTAAATGGTGACTTAAAACCTTAGAAGTGAGGGATGAGAGTGGACTGGAGTAAAGTAAGGTTCTGATTGATTTAATTTCAGATTCATTCACTCTCTGGAATTTTTTCTTAAAAAATAATGAAATAGCTTAAAAATAGCTCAAAATAAGGAAATAGCTCAAAATAACGAAATAGCAGCAATAACAAAATGCACAAAAACCAAGATTTTCTTAATTATTTGACCGAAATAGCTTTTGCACATTAATGTGAAATTAAATCAAAATTTCGTGCAACATTTACTCGAATCGTAAGAAAACTTTTGCGCAATTATTGCACATTTTTTGTGCAAAACGTTTCTATTGGAAACCCTACTTGCATGCCCTTGACTCCTCCAATACTCCTAGTTAGTCTTGTGTTCCCTCGACCCAGTTGACCTTCATGATTCCGTCCAAAAGTAATCATCTCTCCACTCTAAACGTTAAAAAAATATATATATTTAATAAATTGTTCTAACATTTGTCAAAAAAATGTAAGTAGATGATAATTTTAAACCCAAAACATGCATAAAGATTGCATTTCATGGCGTGATTAAAAAAAGGAAAATCTGATTTGTTACTTATAAAATTATTAAAATTATTATTATCATTAAAAAGATTTAGAACTCTAAATTAAAAGTGTGCTATACTGATATTATAAAAAATGAAATATAAAAAAAATTTAAGTATATTAAATTTGTTTATCTTTATCCTCCTTGTTATACAAATAGAGTTTGATAAAGGCAAAACCATAGGTCCCATTCAACTCAAGATTTGTCCCATTCTACTCCAAATTTTTTGTACAATGCAAGTATTTTTTTTCTGTATTTATTTTGATTTTACCTCTGTAAGACAAATTGTATGATTGTTTCCCATTGATGCATCATATATTCTTTGTTTTATTTGTTTTACTCTGAAGAAAATTAAATAAACTTTTAAAAAATTTATTTAAATAGTTTAATTTTTAAATTAAATAATTATTGCTTAAAATGGATTACAGTATGAGAGTTAAGAGGCAAATTTTCATATTCAATAATTCATTTTGTCATTAAAGTATCATTCTTTATAGGCAATAGCGTTTCCCATAATTCAAACATGCCAAAAGTTTATCTTCGCAGCCTACGATTGTTGGACTTGGATATTTAGAATTCAGCTAGATTAAATACTCAAGGTTTGAAATATCAAATGTTAATTCAATTTTTACAAAAACAAAGGGAAAAGAAATTTATACTTAGGGTCAAGAAATCCGTTCCTTTTTGGGACAATTGAAATAGTTTATTTCTAATTTCCTGGTAGGTACTAAGGCTTGCTTGACTTCTCCATCATAGAACCATGTTTTCGGTTCATCTAATCCCAACTTGTTGTACTGACAAAAACAATTTAATTAAAATAGTTAGAAAATATTCAAGGAGAGAGAGGAGGGTTTTATTTAAATGTGTCAAATTGGCATTCCTGAGCCCACAATTAAAAAGCTTTGGATCAAGTCTTAATTCCTTAAACCCACATGATTGAAAGCTGGGAGATCTGCCAAATTACATATTAATACGGTTTTATGGACTCAACTCTGAGCAAAATTAGATGCATCTTAAATCCAAGTTCCCACTATGGACCAACAGTAGTTAAGAATGAGTCGTATTATCCTGAATCTTCTAAATTGCAGGCTCTACTTTGATCACTTCTTTGTTTACTTAATCTTTGTTTTTGTTTAGAAACTAGTTCTTAGTTGTTATAATGCTTTGAGGCAGCTGAATAATAATTCTCATAAAAAATTGGCCAGTTTTAAAACAAAACACATTTACTTATTTACAAGACAAAATTTCACCTTGTTGCTTCCACAGGCATACAGGTCACCATCATGGGATATAAACATGGTGCCATCTCCACCACACCGGACATCAGTAATATAGATATCCTCTGTGTTTAGGGAAACAGCTAAATATAAAATATATATATTTATAGTAGAGATATCCTTTGAGTTCAAGAATACAGCTAAATATATGAATATAAAGCCGTAGTACAGAAATACTCTGTGTTTAGGGAAACAGCTAAATATAAAAAAAGATATTCATAGTATAAATATATGTTCCAGAATAAAACTGATTATATGAAGATACATATTCAATAAAATATGTTTATAAAAGAACGAAAAAAAAGATTCTTTAAAAAAACCTTATATTATTCCTTGAACAAAAGCATTAGCTATTTAGGAACTTCTATTTAATTTTACTCTAAATTGCTGAAAGCTGTTGATCACAAATGGTGATATGGTTATCAAGGTTAGGCAACAATGGTAAAAGAATAAATAAAAAAAAATGTTACCTTTTGGAGCTGCAACATCTTCTTCAGATGCTAAACCTAGTCTACCAGCAGCCCCTCGGCCCCAGGAATAAACATCCCCCTTAATGAGATTATTTAACAAAAGATTTTATCAATCAAGAAATAATGATATCCTTTTATTTGCCTTAATATTTGTGCTATCAAAATTCTTATTGTGTTCTTCTTGGCTTCAAAGTGTATATTACCATTTAGAATTTTGTCATGAAAAAGATCATCTAGGGTAATACAAATTAGCAATGTAGGAATTGCAAAATGTTTTGCATTTTGAGAACACATTTGAAATTTTTTTTTTTAATTTGAAAGTCAAGTTTTGAATGAAACATTAATGTACTCTTTTTATCTACAGTGGTAATTAGAAATCTTCCATAACTATTTTTTAATGAAAGTTGTATTTTTGTTTTTTTTGTCTTTTTAAATTTTTAACTTCAACTTTTTAAATAATTGTTAGTAAAAATAATTACAGTTTTCTAAAATGTCAGAACAATTTTTAGACTAGAAGTAAGAACAAAAATAACAACCATTCTTAAGTTATCAGGATACTACTATAAAGAATGATTTTAAAAAAGACAAGCAAAAAAATAATTCAGATTTGTTTAAGTAGAATATTTTTTTTTCGTCAACCATAAATCCTTTTGTTTAAAAAATTGCCATGCCACTATTAAAAAGTTAAATAGTAACAATGAAATCAACTTATTCTTTTCATAAATATTTTTTTTAAAAAGGTAGCGCACACCTGTCCCCCCACAACCACAACATGCTCACTACCACAGCCGATTGCCACCACATCAACACTAAAATAATAATTGCATTACCAGTAGAACAGGAGAGGGGGCATGCACATTGTCAAAAAAAAAAACATTTTCTGAAAAGCAAAGTTAACTCTGAAACCAACTGCTGCTCAAAAATATATCATTTTATAATCTTATTTTTGTAGCTCTGGAAATGAAAATTTCAAAACAGTAGAACTATAATTTTGGAATAATAGTTTGTAAAATTCAGTTAACTAAAATTCTAGGATCCATTTTATCTTTTTATAGAATCCAAATCCAGCTATTTGAATATTTTTTTATATTGATTATAGAAAACATCATGAAATAAGTTCATGATTTTATAACTGGATATACCCTGGATCTTGATAAGCTTAATGCATTTCAAAAAATCCAATTTGTATTTGATCCCGTTTGCATGCAAACTATACATAATTCTGTTATGATATTAAAGTTTTTGTACAAATATATATATATATACGTTTTAACAATTCAAATAAAAAAAATAAAAAATGAACAATTATATTGATCTGCTTTTTCACATCAGTGATTTGAAAATCAAATAACAACAGAGTTTACTGATAATGATCAATTTTAATATCTATAATGATTAATATAAGATTAATTTTTTTTATGATTTATAATAAAAATAAAATAAATGATACTAATAATATTGAAAATAATAGTAATAGTAATAAGAATTAGTTATGATAAATGATGATATAATAATAGAAAATGTAAGTTATAATAATCAATCTACTATTTACATAAATAATTATAAAAGAAATTAGGCATTGTGTAAGCTTATATAAAGAATTTAGTTGCATTATTGCATAATTTATAATCCTGTTGGAATATTTAGAGTAATTTTACAAAAAAATTTTATTTATAAAGTGTGTATCAAACATGGTAATTTCTTTAACAAAATAGAATAATGACAGTTGTCTACTTGAAATTAGATAATTGCTTTGTGTCAAAAACTTTTGTGTCAAAAACTACCTTTTTCGGCTACATTAATTTCAAACTTTTCAAAAACTTTCATGTCCCAAATTTTTTCAGAATGCAAAATTCAAAATATTTATCATATTTACAATACGACTATTTTCAACTTTGATTTGCCTTTCATTAAAAATAACTTTGAAAACTTATATTGCAGAAATGAAAGAACGAATCACCCACACCCAATATATATATAGGATTTAGAAACACAAAGATCCAGACAGCTATGAAAGTTACTCATCAATTTTAAGACTTTTTTTTCTTTGTGTTGCGATGCCCCAGTCTTTAGCTTAAAAGCATACTTTTTTCTGTAATTTGATCGGGACGCATATGGGTTTTATTGGGTACAAGACAAGTAATTGACAAGGGTACAAGAAAAGTTAAGAGAATTTTACTTTACCATGGGTTCCTAAGACCAATTGTGTCTAAAAGACATACAGAGCTCAGCAAGGGATGTTTTGTAGACAAAGTTAGTAGAGTAAAATTTTAATTTTCCAAAAAAGTAGATGTACACAATTTTATAGTCTTTTAAAATGAAAATGCACGAATTTTACTTGAAAACTTTGCAGAACTTGTGGTTATTTTATATTAACTGTCCTAATGGACGTTTAGTAACTTAACCTAGCCCTCCGTTGGGGGATTCATAGGTCGGTAGTGTCAGTAAAAAGGTGGTAAAATATATTATGGGACACATGGTTTCTGACTGGGACATACGATACCTGAGAAGCTGTTCTATAAGTTTAGGTCTCGCACTACTATTCCAATCTCCATGTCCCAAAGCTCCAAAGGAACCGTCTCCACAGGTCATTACTATTCCATTGTCACTGTAACAGTGACATAATTAGGAGACTAATTAATGAATTGTTAAATAAGGTCACCTGAACACCAAGTAAAAAAAATACCAAGAAATAAATTATTTTGTTTTTCTGATCAACTGGTATATTTCCAATCTAATCAAAAGACTTTAAATGTAATATTATATTGCAATCCCATCTTCTAATTCAATTGTGAACATTTTCTCTTTGCATACATTGTAAAACAAAAAAAGTCAGTGGATTTAATAATAAACTTTTGAGGATTTTTAAAATTTTAAAATTTTAAAAATCGAATTTTGTTGGAGGCTATTTTTTATTTTGATCATCCATAAACCTTTCGTGGGGTCAGGTAAGGTCCCACAGAAAATTTGGGACCAATCGGTTCAGCTGTTTTGAGGTTTGTTGGATGCAAACAAAAACCCAGACAAGCAAAGTATATATAGAAAGTATTTTTTAAACATTTTTCAATAATTTTGAATGTCCTACTTCAGAAAAAGGCAAAAGGTGGCACCTTTTCTTATATTTTGAAGAAAACACGGCTAAAATCAATATTTTGATCATTATATTTATTTAAATTTGTTTGGTTCTGCTGTCCAATAACAAGGGTTTGTATGCCATTGGTTAGTGCTCAGAATATATCAATATTAAAGATTGATATTTGCATAACTATCACTGTGATTTAAAGGTCTCACATTCTCAAGCAAAAATTAATGAGAATTTTGCAAATAACTAAAACTAACAATAAGTGCTTTATATTGAAATCATGTATATGTAGAGGGCTAAGAAAAGCATAAGTGAGTTAAAACAGTAAAATCTGAGCCCCAGGTGTTGCGACACTTCAAAGTCAAACCTGATTTAAAAATTGATTATAAGTAGGCTGAATCTATGTGCTATTGATCAGCAGTCCCATTTTGAAAATGGGTTCATGTTTCATGTTTTTATTTAACTCTAACTGTTCTTTCCTTATTTTTTACCTCGAAAATACAGAAAATCCATTTCCTGCACAAACTCTTGTAATAGACTTCCCCTTCAGAACTTCAACACACTGGGGTTTAGATCTCCAATTTTCTAAATACACAAAAACATTTGGGTAAAGACTAAATTGGGCAAGTTCTTACATTGACATGTTATTGTTATTAACATGGGATGCTTGTTAACAAGAAAAATGCCTTTTCCGGTCCAAAATTTTCTATTCCGAATTTGTTAATTTATGTTATTCCTCCTTTTTAAAAAATCTTTCTAACTTTTGGCTAATTTTTTCTAACAATGTGGCAGCTTTATCAGAAATTCCATTGTATAGATGAAATAAGACATTGGAGCAGTGGCTGTTTCCCAAAGCCATTTTTTTATTCATTATTTATTTTCTTACCTAGTTCTCCATGTCCAAGTTGACCCTTCCTTCCCTCTCCCCAGGTGAAAACTAGACCTTCCATGGTGAGTGTGATAACATGAGTTCCACTCACAGATACCTGCTGGATCAAAGATCTGGCAAATATAAAAATTTGTATTTATTACTGTAAACTCTAGTTCATTTCAAGTACTTTTTTTGGCCTTTAAAACATCTTTGATCATTGAGTTAGAATAGAAGTGTCATTTATTATTTCCAAAAATATGAGTTTTCATGATGGTATAGCGGAACACTCATTTTAAAGTGATTTTTATCCTAGTTTCTAATGATCTTCCATTGAGAGAGTGACATGTCTCATCCATAACTGTACCCGGCCTTAAAAGCTTTGTCTGATTAATTATTATGTCAATGCTTTTATTTAAAAAATATGTATTTTCCTTTGTGGTTTCTCTTCAAAAGTGACTTGCACATTTTTTTCAGAATCAAGAGGGAAATTAACAGTTTTCAAATCAGAAAACTATGTTTTTTTTCCACATTAATGATCAGATTAAGGTTTCAAGGGTAACGTTGCTAATCAGGCATGCCTCTCTTCAAGATAATCTATAGTAAAATATTGTACCTTGGTGGCAGCTGTATAGGGGTCAGATTTAATGAAGATCCAAAAGCCTGTCACATACATTTTTCAGGCAATTCAGAATATTAGTTTTGTTTAGTTCTTAATCCTTCTAATCCTTTTGAAACAAATTTACTCATTTTCGCTAAGCTGCTAGAAGGGAAAAAGAAAAAGGAAAAGGAGATTGAAAATAGAAATGCATAAAATTTATTTGTTTGAAAAAAGAGAAATTAGTTTTTCATCCTGTCTATATTAAACAATTCCATTATATAGAATGAGAAGATCAAATTAAATGCAACCTGACTGGTGCGACTAATTGTGACTTTGTCTTTGCTCCTAATTTTGATTTTAAGAACCAAATTATTTGGTTCTTATCTATGACCAATTATTTATTTGCTAAAACTTTGCGAAATTTGTGCAAAATATTTTGTTCAATTTGTGCAATTATTATTCTCGCCGCAACTACCTCAAATTGAAGTCCAAACTTTTACATTGTGAAACGTCCGTGGTGGTCGTACCCTGCTGGGATAACTATAATACATAGATTGATCATTGATCCTTTATTTTAAAGGTGCTTAAATGGCATATCGAAATCAAAGATGTACAATACTACACACAAAGTTACGACCTTTGTTCAAGCAATGTATTCTACGCGAAATGCGTCATTTGTGTAAAAACCTTAGAAATACGCAATTACACTCAACTGGAGAAAAAACGAAAGGTCGCAAAATTGATAACTAAAATATTGAAAAATATATATTTCCTTCATGTAGTAGAGTACAGATCTTGAGGGTCTTCCAGTTCGAGGCTAAACAAACATAGATATATGTTTAGAGTATCAGTGAGAACCAGAAAATTCTGGGATAGGAAGACGACATTAAAGCAATGATTAAGTGTATTTGATGTTTTTAAATGGGTCTGTTTACACTTAACATTCAGGTGGATTTAACGGTTCTGTCAATATTTAAGATATCTGTGATTTTTGATCACAATTAGACCCATTAAACATATTTTTACCCTTTTTTCTTAAATACTTTTTTTACTTTTTTGTTGGTATGTAAGCATTTTGAATAAAAAAGTATAGAATAAACAAATCCGTAATTATATAGACCAAAACACGTTTGATTTCAAATAAAAGAAACCGAACTACTGAAACTATATTGATTTCAAGTCATAACTCAAAAACTCATCTTTCTGGTTCTCACCAAATTAACCAGAAAACTGTGGAATGGGTGTCGTCATTGGAATTTTTTCTCTCTTTTTAATGACGCCAAGGATTGTGTAGTTTGTAAATATTAAAACTAAGATATTTCGGGAAAAATATAGTTTGAAAATTGCAAAAGATTTTGCGAAATAGTAAGTCGAGTTTTAAGCCAAAGTGATAACTTTAAATATTCCGATAAACAAGAGGTTCATACAAATTGTTGAGTCTAAACAGACCAATTTCACTTGATAACTAATTTAATAATGTGTCACAACATTATGTATACTTAAAGGACTGTAAAGGAAAAATAAAAGGGGGTATGGCTGAAACCTAAGAACTTCAGGAGTTGATTGTGTAGCATCATAATCACGTGTCTCCGTCAGTATCAAGTAACAATGATACTGCACTGCCATTGGTGGGAGTTCTGGTCACGTGATACAGACGAATCAATTATATCATCAAATAACTGAAGGGCCCGGCTTTGCCCCTGAACAAAAAACTTTTTTTTAGCCTATAACACCTCCTGGCCACCCATGAGTGTCCACATAAAATTTCAGCCCAATCGGTCCAGCCGTTTGGCCGGCTACAGACAACATATATATATTTACGAATGTCTTGTTTTATTATATAGATTATTTATATGAAAAATTGAAATTATTAAATTCCAATAATAATAAGAGCAAACCTGAGTTTTTCAGGCTCCTCTGGGATATCTTTGTTATTAGATTGGTTGCGTATTTGCTGAATATAATCTGATTTAACTTTAGATTTTTATAAGTTTTGATATAATTTTGACATAGTTTTTTAATCAACTTCTAGAGACAGGAACATCAGATAGAACTCTTATAGGTCTCGATCAACTCCTGAAGTTATCCTTTTTTCTTTAGTTCCTTTAATTATTGATTAAATGTCGTCTTCCTATTCTACAGTTTTCTAAATCAGGGTGTACGTAGAAATAAAGAGTAAAGACACTAATTATTCCACTTATTCATATTTTTACACAATTTATTTCTCAAGAATATTTACTTCGGAAAACTTTACACACAACAAATTAGTGATACATCATTATTCTTTGTTCAGCTCAGACGGGATTAGTATACCCTTTCATGGAAATATTTAAACAAAAGCTCTCAATTGCTTCAGTAACTTAACTTAAATCTATCGTATTTATGTTTGTAAATATCTGTTTTGTTACTGCAAATGCTCGATTCACAATGGTACCCTTGAAACCCTATCTGACAGTAATGTAGAAGATATTGTCATTTGTTTTGTCTAAAAGTGTTATATTCTGGTAATTCCTATATGATTCACTACAATAGAAATGCGCATATAACTGTTATGAGAAAATATAATTTAAAAAGTCAGCTTTTAAATGATAAATGTTATATTCTTATCTTTAAGGGTGCCTTTGAGAATCGGGAATTGTCGGCTTTGAATGGAGAATCACCCGAAAATACAATTATAGTCCCTTTAATATTTTATTTGGTCGTTTCAAAAATTTCCTATTTGTTGGATAAAATAACTTTTAATGATTTCTTACGATCAGGATTCTGATGATAAGCATCATTTATTGAATACTTGACGTTAATCCTATATATAGATAATCTCACTCTCACAATTAGAATTTTTGGGAAAATAACAAATATTCAAAAAGAATTGTTTTAATTCAAAATTTTCCTTTTGTCGAACCTTGGACATTGCTTTGAACCAAAAACTCAAAAACTTTGTTCTTTAGCATTTTATCAGAATACCTCTCTAACATTCTTGACATGGCAATAAAATATGCAATAGGACCCTGAAATCTTTTAGAAATGAAAGACAACTTTTATGACTCGAGATATGATTTTAAATAGATCGATGAGCATCAAACACATGTGCACTAATCTACAGTGTACATACGTATATTTTTGAGCTTCTGGTAATACTGGTACACGCATATAAAATATACAGAAGATTGCACAGATTTCTGGGGATCACTGTAGTAATATTTTTACCTTCTGCCCACTTCCTGCCATTATTTCCTCCTCCATTAGTTCCATTTCATCATAATACCTAGTAAACAAGTATTCACTTTCGAACCCATTTTTACTATTTTATTAAGATTTTTTGTTTTATGTTCTTTTATATTTTTTGCTCGGCTAATGTTTAAATATAGAATATTAAAAGTTTTTTATACTAAATTAGGAAGTTTTACGTTGTAAGCTTTAGCTTAAATATTTAACTCATCGATATGGACGATTTAAATATTTAACACCAGGAAAATGATACATAGTTTGTGTATTCATGAAACCAATTTTTTTTTAATGTAATAAATTTGGAATTAAGTCTGAGTTCATTATTTTTCAGAACTTTGATGATATAACTTAGATTTCGCGCATTCTATAGTTTTGGACTTTGGTGATTGAACAACTGGCATTCCTGGCATTAGCATTAAAAAAGAGTCTTGTTTGCAGCATAAATCAAATTAAATTAGTTCTGTTCATTCATAAGTTTGTAGCTTTATTAAAATATAAAAATATAAATGAATTAAATTTAACCAACGAGATTTTGAATTTAAGAATGATTATGAATGTTCCAAAAGAAGTGACAATATATTTGCAAAGGCATTGAGTCTTTGCCACAAACTCAAATGTTCTAATCCTTATATCTTTGCAACCTGTTGGTGTGAACTTTTGAAATTTCAAACTTTGATTACTTGAACTAACGTGATTTACATTTTGAAATATCTAAGGTCTACGCCATTGGGTTGTAAAGATATAAGGATTGGAAAATCAGAGTTTGTGGCAAAGACTCAATTCCTTTCACTAAGGAATTAGCAGATTTTCAAGTTTCTTCCACGGCTACTGATTAATGTATTTAAGTATTTCAAGAAAATATTTATATAACAAGGTAGTAGATAACAAGGTAGTTAATAATAAGGTAGTATATAACAAGGTAGTATATAACAAGGTAGTAAATAACAAGGTAATAGATAACAAGGCAGTAAATAACAAGGTAGTAATTAACAAGGTAGTAAATAACAAGGTAGTAAATAACAAGGTAGTATATAACAAGGTAGTAATTAACAAGGTAGTAGATAACAAGGTAGTAGATAACAAGGTAGTAGATAACAAGGTAGTAGATAACAAGGTAGTAGATATCAAGGTAGTAGATAACAAGGTAGTAGATAACAAGTAGATGGAATGAATGTTTAGAGTCCAAGTTTTCAAAGTGAGGTAATTAAAAAAATCTAGAATTTTTAGCTTAATTGTTAAGGTGTTAGGGAGATTTTTCAAAATTATATTAAGTACTTTGTAAAACCACAGCAATTTTTTTGTAAAACAACAGCAACAAACAGCAAATAATGGCTACTTTAGGCAGAATTTGTTAGGTTATTTACCCTATGCATGCAATAAAAATATTTTTTTTTGTAAAATAAACTTTTAAATTACTGGATCTGAGGAGTTCAAAATAATGAAATTTTACAGATAATCTGCAGGAGGTCACGCACCAACTACAATATTATTACAATAAACTCAGAATCCCGCTACAGGAGGTCACGCACCAACTACAATATTATTACAATAAATTCAGGATCCCACTGCAGGAGGTCACGCACCAACTACAATATTATTAAGATAAACTCAGGATCCCGCTGCAGGAGGTCACGCACTGACTACAATATTATTACAATAAACTCAGGATCCCACTGCAGGAGGTCAAGCACAAACTACAATATTATTACAATAAACTCAGGATCCCGCTGCAGGAGGTCATGCACCATCTACAATATTATTACAATTAGACTAAAAGGATTTTAAACCTAACTGTAAGTTAGCCTCAATTGATAAAGTAGCATGTCTGATTCACAAAAGCTTTTTTTTAGATTGACTTTAGCTGAAAAAATGAAAAATTAACAGAATTAAACGTTTTTCAAGATAGGAAAACAACGTTATCTTCCACATTATTGATCAGATTAAGGTTTCATATGGTACGGTTGAGAATCACTTAATATTTGTTTATTGAGTTTTTAAAATTGGTAAAATCTGTTTTTGATTGAGTTAAATGTTAGATTGATAATTCCAAAATTTATTTATATTATTAAAAACCCCAGTGGGCCAGTAAACTATCCATTGTAACATTGCTCTATGAATGGTCATTTTTAAATAACTTTTTGTGATGCAAAGGAAAGGCTACAGGAGCTTCAAAAGGCCCGTTGGCATGGTAATTCAATAAAATCTAAAATTTCTTTTTTTAATCATACAACTTTTAAAAGCTCTTTAATCATATGTTCAAACCCCCAGCTTTTTAAAAGTTGTATTTTCTTCTGTCTGACCAAAACTGGTAATTCTCAGACAACCTAGGTTAATTGTTCCTTCATACTTCATTTTTCTAATGAGCAACGATTTTGAAATTTTTTTTTCTTCATTTTTACACAATTTTGTCTGTTCACAAGGATATTTACAGAAAGCTGCCTTTTATCTAAAATATTTTGAAAATGTCGATTTTTTATTAAATGATTTAAAACTTACCTGTTTAAATAAAGGAGAATAGGGTCCCCTCACCGGTGCAAACTGTCCTTTCATGATCTTATTCACTAATGCTGGTAGGTTAGAGCCCTTTAATATATCTATATATAAATTTGGCTTGTCTGTCTGGGTGTCTGTTTGTTTATTTGTATCCAATAAACGTCAAAACGGCTGAACCGATTGGGCCCAATTTTTTTGTGGGACATCATGTGACCACAGGGAAGGTTTACGAATAATAAGAATTTAAAAAAATGTGTTTTAAAGGTTTTCAATTTTGTTAAAATAATTTAAATTCTTGAAAATCCGCGAATTTTTTTTAAAAATCCGCGAAATTTTTTTCTTCTTTGTTTTAAAATGTAAACAAAAAGAACACACTTTTTATAACACAATTTAAATAGAAGATGGGCGCGAAGCGCCCTAAAAGCCTAGTAAATATATATGTAAACTTCTTGTATAACAAATATTTAAAAACATTCAAAATTGTTAAACGGATAAAAGAAATAAGAGTAAAATTTTTAAAAGTGAACATTTTTAAGGAGCAAAGATTTTGATTCTGTCCGTTCAAAAACCATACATGGGGCCCCATTGGTTCGGCCTTCCTAGGTTAAAATTGAATTGATACAAACAGACACCCAAACACATATACAGGGTTTCCCCCAAAGGATGAGAGTTTCCTTTTAAAATGATTCCCTGCAACTTATTTCTTTCTTTTCTTAATTGTTTGATAGGCCATAAAAAGATTATATTCAAGATAGAAAACTAAATTATCCTTGAAATCGTCATAATTAAAGAGTTTCAGGTCGTCTTTTCAGTCTCATCCTTTGTGGATACTCCTGTATGTAGATGGAGATATTATGCATGTAAATATTCGAATTGTTTGTAACATTTGAGATATTAAGCAAATTGCATGTGTAAATTTGCAATGTATGTCCAAAATTCATTAAAAATAATAATTTGAATAACTAAGATTCTAGGTCAAAAAATTACTTAACCTCAAATGTTTTCTGCAAGCAAGCCATCTCATAAAGAATACAACCCAAGGCCCAAATATCTGATTTCTCATCGTAAACCTGAAAATTATTTATATATTAGTCTAATTTATGAAATTAGGAATGTCTTGTTATGCAATTATTTGATTTGGAATTGAGCCTTTGCCACAATTAATCTAATTTTAAATCCCTATACCTTCGCAACCTGAAGATGTAAACCTTTTATGTATCAAACAATTAGTCAGAATTCAAAGTTTAACATGTCAAAGGTCTGCATAACATAATTATAGATGAGACAAAATTTTAAAAAAAGACTCACTTAAAATTTATCTTTATCTGTAAACGCAGGGTTGAGACACACCCCCCCCCCCCCTCCTGCCTTTGTTAAATAAGAAAGATGAAAAGTTAAACATAGAACAAATCTCCCGAAGGTTTAGAAAGTTTTTATAATAGCAAACATTATTAAGCTTTGTTTATTAATGTCTATACTAAAAGAGACAAAAAAAATTATACTCTGAAACTTTTTTCTATGTTTTATTGAAAATACTAAGCATACATCATTATAATAATGACATTTTATAGAAAGGACATTTAATTATATAGAACATTTTAAAGATACGACATTCTTTAGACAGGACATTTCATAGACAGTAATTATGATAATTTTGAGACATTTAAGATAGGGCGTTCATTTCATAGACAGGACATTAACTGAATGGCAATCTGAAAAGATAACGAATCTAAATCATTTCCTTCTTACGAAATATGTTTTCGAAATATTTTATAAATTTTTACAAAATTTTTTTTATAAATATATGTATTAGAAATTGTTATTTATTTGTTGTCTATAAAAATTTCTGTATATGAAATATCCTTAGCTTTGAAATGTCAACCTTTGATAATGTCAACCTATAAAATGTCTCTAGAACGCCCAACAACTTTTTACCTTTCCTTCGCACATTTCAGGGCTAATATAGTAGGGAGTCCCTAGAACAGTGTGAGCACCACCTAGAACAAGTAATCTTAAGATATCACTGCAAATAACACTACTGGTATGACTTGGTGACCTCTTAGCTCCTCCTCCTAGTTTTGGTTTTACACACAAGTTTTTTAATCCCGATATCATTCCAACCTGCTAATGTAAACCTGTGATATTTCAAACTTAGATCATTTGACCTAACAGAATCGATAGTTAATGATTTAGTAGGTCTACGACATCGGGTTTCAAAGATATAGGGAAGTAAAAATCAGAGGTTTTTGAAAAAAACTCAATTAAAACTCAGTTCAACATGAAATTGAAACAACGATCCAGAAGTCTAAACTAGAAAGGATGGCAGAGGTTAGAAATATAATCAAAAATAAAATGAAGTTTTAAAAACGTTGTGATGGAGGTACTTGCATTAATGAACGATTGAAAAACATATTTGAATTATGATAAATTTATAACATAATTGAGAGAAAAAAACATGTTTACTAAAAACGAACAAATGCTTACGTAGGTATTTTCTGTTATGTTTATATTTATGTTTATCCTCCAAAATTATACGTCACCTTGCTTTGTTGTCAGCATCTTTGATATTCCAAAATCTCCAACTTTGACAAGATTATCCTTGGTTAAGAATATATTTGCTGTTTTCAAATCTCTAAAATTCCCAGGAACAAGGATTAAAAACAAAACTGAGAATATTTTAAAATAAAATTTTTAAACCATGTATGGTTACCCACAAAGAATAAGTCTTTAATAACGACCCGAATCTCTGGAAATATAACGATCTAAAGGTAGAATATTTTTTTTAACGTAATATTGAAATGGTTTACAATGAGTTTGGTAAAAAGATAACTGTGTTGAAAACAACGGAAAACCAATAGCTTTTCTCTCGTTTTAGAATTTTCAAAACTAACAAACCAAAGCGCTTGAAGCTAACATGTATATATTGTTATATTCTTAAAACATTTTGATTTTGAAATTAAAAAAACAAGATTGTCAGAAATCAAAATTTAAAAAGGAGGCCAAATTTAATTTTTGACATGTCCAGACCAGTTATGAACCGACTTAAGGTATGTTTGACATAATTTATTTTGTTAAAAGAGTGCCATGGCGCCATTAACAACGGTATCCTCTCAACTTTTTATCAGTACAGATTTTTGAGTTATCCTTGTTTCTCTGTCTGAAAATTGCTCGCTGCAAAAATTATTTATACAGCAGTGGCAATAAAGAAAGTTTATAGAAGTTATGTGCCGCATTGTAAACCAGATGAAGGACCATAAAGGGTTTTTTAAAACTTGCTACAGTGAAAAGAAAAAAAAACTGTGTAAGAGGAATACGATTTTTTTACTCAAATGAGGATTTAAAATACTTGTAAAACTATTTTCTTTGTAGCACCATTAAATTCACTTAAAGGGAGTGTTCGCGAAAAATGAAATGGGGTAAAGGCTTAATGCGATAAAAAGGCGCTTTTGATCGCCACTAATCCTACTTCTATCTGTTGCGTTTATAAGGAGAAAAATGTTAAAGACGTCTCATACCGAATAACTTAGCGCCCATACAAATTGAGAAAATTGCAACATACAACTTAGACAGTAAAACATCAATTTAATTTCTAACAAAGCATTCAGATATTACAACCTATAGTCATTGATTATCTTTCGCCACATTTGTATATTGTTCATATTTATATAATTTTTTTTTTTTTTTAAACGCTTTAACGGATTTCGAAAAATGTGAGTGGTGCGCGGCATTCTTAGATAGTTGCGCAAGCAACAAGAGAAATAATCAAATTCAAAACAAATTTATTAAAAAATATTATAAAATATAAACTATTTACAAATGTGGCGAAAGATAATCGATGACTATAGGTTGTAATATCTGAATGATTTAACATGTTTCTCCTTTTAGACGCAACAGATAGAAGTATGATTAGTAGCGATCAAAAGCGCTTTTTTATCGCATTAAGTCTATACCTCTTTCATTTTTCGCGAACACTCCCTTTAAAGATTGATTTGATGTCGTTTTCTTGTTCCTACTGCATACAGTTAGATGACGGAATAATATTTGTATTGTTCTGGGATACCTGTGGAGAACGTTATTATCATGCATATGCCTGATAGCTGACACCATTTGACTTAATACAAACACAAACTTTAGAATATGCAGTTGTTTTAGAGGTTTGGGACCCCTTCTTACCTTTCCTCCAGGAAAGATCAGACCAAATAAGTTCTGAGTTCTTTGCTATACCGTAAAATATTCGCACAAACTTTATCCCCCTACCTTCATAATTAGTTATAATCTTACATCACCTCAGGGTTCTGAAGACCAATTTTGCCCAGAAAACATCCAGAGCGCAGCTAAGGATGTTTTCTAATCAAAAATGGTTGTGGATATCCATGGCCATGATCAAGTAAAATTTATTATGGCCAAAAAAAGTAGTAGTTTTTAGAGATAAAATTGCGCAAATTTTTTAACGAAATCTTCGCAGATTAGGTCGCCATTACGTTAAATTGTCCTAATGGACGTTAAGAAACGGTAAATTTATTATTAGACGGGTTGTTTCTCTTTTTCATTTTTATAACATATTATAAATTGATTTAAAAAAAACAATTTTATTTAAAGTATTAAGGAACTGAAAACTAGCCTCAACGTTTTTGCAACACGATAGTGTATACGTGTAGACCTCAGACATTTTAAACTGTAGATTCTTTACAGATCAATAAGTCAAAGTTCTAAATATTAATGTTTTACGCCATCGTAAAAATATAGGAAATAAAAAAAGAGTTTTTTAAAAAAATGGGCAAATTTTGTAACACAGTTGTTTTATAACCGATAACTATGGGAAAAATATGATGTTTGTTAAGTGTTGATTCCTGAAAATATCCAGAATATCACGTTCTTCCATCCTGAATAGAAAAAGAACAAAGTTGAATAAAAGAAATATTACATAAGATTGTTTTCATAAATATCGTTTATGACATATTTTCGTTTCAGCTAACTTTTGGCGGTTTTTCTTAATTTCCTCCAATATGTGTTCGTATATTGTTCATACATTTTTCTGAAAGTAAACCACCGTTTACAAAAAATATCGTTCGTTTTGAAAAATTGCATCCTTTTACAAAATTATGCCCATGAATACGGTTATGAGTAATAAAGTTAAAATTTCAAAAATAAATTTAATATTAAAAGACGGCTAATTACATGACAATAAATAAAAGAATAATAGTAGAATAATAGAAAGGAGCAATATTAAAGATCCTAAAAAGAACGGATTTCCTTATTTTCATGATTCCTTGCACCTATCAACTTTATTCTTTCTTTGCAAAACCATCAAATAAGTCATTACCACATTTAAGGCAGAAGACTTAATTTTAGCTTGAAGTCTTTATGTTTCAAGTCGTCTATACAATCTCAAACTATGTTGATAACACTGTATATCACCTTGCGGTTCGTTTCACCAGCAGTTCAGCAAGATTTCCGCCATCAGCGTACTCCATTTCTAAACAATCATATTTAAAATTTTTTGTTAATTTCAATGTAAAAATAGCATTAACTGATCGAGGGGAGGAAGGCCAACCACATCAATCTCTAGTCCGAACCACATTCTCATCATTTTCGAAAACGGGGGGAAACCCTTCTTCACAAGTTCCCCCCCCTGACCATTACAAAATAATATATTGCCCCCCTAGCAAAAGTCCTAGTTGCGCCTCTGCTTAGTGGGTACAACAAATCTACCTTATTAGTAAATCAGAAATCAATGATTATTTTGTATGGGTTGAAATGGAAAGATTAAAGACCATGTTCACGCGAATTCTTTGGTATAAATTTTTATTTGTGAAAGTTATCCATTTGGGAGGCAGAAGAGATTCAATTTTTAACCAAAATAATGTTTGACATCATTCTCGTGGATTTAAAGATTCCAACATATCAAAATCCTTGGAAAACTTTATTCAGGTCATGTTTATTGTCCTAACGTCGCCATATTTTTAAAAAATGTATTTATTTTCTAGGATCGGATACTTTAAAAAATATAATATTGAAAGGACGATGATTTCGATGTGGTTCGGAGGAGAAAATGAGGAGAATGTGGTTCGGACTAGAGATTGATGTGGTTGGCCTTCCTCCCCTCACTGATCAATTGTAATGGTCAGTCAATAAAAAAGGTACAATAAGGGTTGAATACAGAACTGAAGTTTTGCCACAAACTCAGATGTTTAATCCTTATATCTTTACAACCCGATTGAAATATCAAAGGTTTAGACCGCAAAAGTATAAGGATATTAAAAAGAAAAATTAAATTAAATTAAAAATAAAGGGGGTTTAAAAAGCTAATATCGAATTGAATTCTATATTGATCGCTACTAGGGATTCCAGCGAACGAAAAGTTTCGTAAAAATTTGCGAACGTTTTCAGTCGCATTTCGCAATTTTTTTGCGAAATTTTGCGAACATTTCGCGAAAATGCGAAATGCAAATATATTTTCGCGAAATACGAAAATTTCGTAAAATGCGAAATGCGAAAATTTTGTGAAAATCATAAGCTTTATAGCTGCAACCATTAATTGTTAAAAAGAAAAGATATTTAAAATTAAATATTTAAAGTTTTATTGTGTCAAATAAATAATTTCTCTTCCTTTACTTTAATAAATGTTTGATGAAGAGAATTTGATTTCACTAGCTATCTTTTTAAGTTTCTGTCTGTCCGTCCACAATACATACGTAATAATCTTCACATTTTTCGCGAGCGAACGAAATGCAAAAATGAAGCGAAAAGGGCGCGACAAAATATTTTTTGTGAAAAATGCGAAATTTTAGCGAAAGGATTTTTCCTTTACAATGTAATACGAGTAAAAAATATATAAGTTTAAAGTAACTGCATTTACGAATTACAAATTCTGACCTATCATGAGAACACCATCTTTCTCAAAGCTGTCATGATAGCTGACAATGTTGGGATGATCTAGGGTTGCCAAAACTTTCACCTAAAACGATATATTTTTTTATTTCTTGGGGGGGGGGGGAATCAGTCCTTTAGCCCTAATCCTGTATTTGTGATGTATAGCATTTTATATTCCTTTCAGTATCCTCGCATCTAGATTTCCCAGAAATTGAAAAATTTACATTTTTCTTTCAAACTGCAATTTTTTTCTCAGAGTTGCAAAGGTCTTTTTGAATTTTTTAAAAATATTCTTAAGATGAGCTATAAAAGTAATTTGTTTTAAAAACTAGAAAAGGAATTGAGTTTTTCCCCCAAACTATGATTTTTTAATCCCTCTGTCTTTGCAATTCAATATCGTAGACGTTTGATATATCAAACTGTGATATCTGTTAGATTAAATAATCTAAGTTTGAAATAACTAAAGTTTACACCAGTAGGTTGCAAAGATATGGGGATTTCAAAATTTGAGTGTGTGGCAAAGACTTAATTCCTTTCTTGATATAATTTTTCTTATTTACTAATGCATGCAAGAGAAAAAAAGATATCAAATATTACCTCATTTAAAGCCATTTGGCGCTCATTTGCATTTAAATCCATCATGTTAATCTCCTATAAAATAATATTTTATTATGCTTATAACTATATAACTATATAACTTATAACACTGTTATTTTGGTTCGCAGGGACAAAATATAATCTTAAAAGGCGAGAACCTTCGAGATATAAAGAAAATTTAAGTCCAAATTTTTATAGCACGTCGTGCCAAAATCAAAGTGGTATAGGTAATTTTATGAAAGGTTTGTGAACTTGTCGTATTTCAATGGTCATTTCTAGATAAGATAAGCATTGAAACAAAGCAGAAGTCAAAATATAAAGTTGATTTCAATTTTTTTTTATTTCAATTGAAAAAAAGTATTTTGGAAAGCCTAACTTTTTGGATTAAATCCGGTAACCAATCAAAACTTTATAGTACAGCCTATTTAACTTTTTATAGCAGCACGATGCTTACTTTTTTAGCACGTTCATTATGAAATTCACGATGAAGTGGGTAAGAATGATTAAGTACACAATAGTTTCATAACAAAATTTTAAATTGAATTTCCTTTCATCCAAAATTGATATGTAGGTTTTAATTTGTGCACACACACGGATTAATTAACTTTATTGTCATTCTATTTTCTATTTGTCTCAAATTACTCCTAATATCGGGACCTTAAAACCTATATATATCCTTCATTGATGGTTTTTTAGCATCAAATATTTGTCTTGCTGAAGGGCCCGGCGTTACCCGTGGGATATTTTTTTTAACAAAAAAATTCGATTTTTTTAGCCTATAACGACCCCTGACCACCTATTTCAGCACAATCGGTCCAGCCGTTTGGCCGGCTATACGCAACATATATATGTACAAATGTCTTGTTTTATTCTAAAGATAGTATTTGAAGTAAATAGTATTTAGCATCAAATTTTTGTCTTATATAAAACAGCGTAAAAGGATAGAAATTGAAATATCCCCCCAAAAAAACTGTTTTATTTTATCCCTGTACAAAAAATTCAAAGAATGATATAATTTCCTAATGAATTCTTTATTCAAAAATGAATACAAAAAAAATATTTATAAAAAATTAAAACGTAAATACAACGCGCAATTTCGCAACATTTTAACTTGGTGAACATTTCTTTTTGTGCGCTGAACAATTTATTTATTTTTAAGCCCCAATCTAAATATTGAAAAAGTATATAACCTTAATTATAACCATGAGACCATCTTCTCTTTTCCTGTAAAGAATAGCAGCTCCAAAAGCTCCTTTCCCGACCATTCGTATTTTCTCATAATCCTTCAACTTCTTGTCTTTATCCTTACTCACCTTTAAAAATAGAATTTTTCAAAATAAATGGCCAAGAAATAAAGAAGGCTATATAGACCCTACGATTCTCTTTTTTAAAACTACAGGGTTACAAAAAATGAGACTATTGTACGGAACTCATTCAGTCTTTAATGGTTCTTTTTGACTTAAAATTGAAAACTTTCGCCTTAAAAGAAATGCTCTTGATTTAATGTGAACATAAAAAAATCCGTGAACATTTGGAGTCCTTCAAAAAATGCTAAAATTTATAAGATTTTGAAAATTATTATAAAGTCTGTCAAAATATGCATAACAAACCTTATTATAAAGTAATTTATCTTCTAAGAAATAAATGTTTATGTAAGAACATTTTCCATTTTATAAAATTTGCATTTTTATTAAAGTTTCCAAAAATGAATAATTTTTTCAGCATATTCTGAATTGAACCCATTACTAAATGCACATGGCACAGTGCACACAAGCGTTAGAATAAACGCCAGGGAATAGGAAGACGACAGTTGGACTTCAGCTATGGCTTTAAATAGTCCTAGCAACATGATTTACAGAGATTGTGCTGAGAGTTCTTAATAGTTTGGATCGTTTTTTGAAAAATACTTCCAAAATGACCAAATCGTTCGTTTTTTTATCGTTTTTGGCTCGTTTTGTGTCTATATTTTCTGGCAGGGTCCAAATTTGGCATAATGTAAAAAAGCACATGTTTCTAGGATAAATTATTTGGATTACAATTGCTTTTTATACACTATTCCAAATTTGGACCCTAAAAGATAAATAGCCAAAACAAAAAAAAAGATCTGATTGTGCAGAGCTGAAAACTTTAGAATGGTGGATATCGAGATTAATGCTTGATCCTCTTTTTTTTGCTAATCTCAAGACTAATTTAGTCTTTAAATTAATTTCTCTAGTGATTAGAGATGCACTCTTTAACTTTTGAAAAAATGATTTTTAATTTTCCCGCATTTGTGGTGTCATATCAATTGGACTAATGATCGATTGAACGAACTTAAGTTTTGGATTAATGTTTATTGATTAATGATTATTGTTAAAAGGACTTAATCCAAAAATGTGACAAAATGTTTTTTTGATAAGTTCCTATTAACATGATTGAATTTTTTTTAACCATTTATTTTTAAATAAATTTTTTTTTGAGAAAATTTGTAACAAGAGCGGTGAATTTTTTATCTCCGACTGTTGTATCTTCTTTTTAGGTGATCATACATCTGTTTCTGTTCCCCTTTAGTAGATCTACGCATTCTAATCCCTTGTATGTCAAATGTATTTTCAAACTTTACTAGCTCTTAATCCTTCTGTCGTTGAAAGCTTATTTCGTAGATTTTTGACACTTTACAATTATGTCATATAAAATAGTCAAAGTTTAAAATATTCAAGATTCATTTAATTATTGAATATTTCATGTTTATTAAAAGTAAAGTAAAGAAAATAAGATTAATCATTTCGTTTACCTTGAGCAATTCTCCCTCTATGCTATTTAGTAACTGTAGGTTAAAATAGTTTTGTCCTAGAGAAGAAAAAAATTATAAAATTAAAAAAGATTTTGTTCCAATGTTGATGATGATAAAAGAAGAAACATGCAATTTTAAATGCACTCTAGAGACTTAGTAGTAATGTGAATTTAGAATTATACGTTTTCATTTCAAAATATTTGTTTTTTTAAATACGTTTAATATATTGTGATAAAATTGTTATTCTAACACTAAATACATGAAAATCAAAATCAAAATTAAAATTAAAACAAATAGATGTTTTTTGTCATAAGTGAAAAATTTCGCAGAATGTAATGAAAGCAAACCTGTAGAGAACAAGATTTGAGATGTAATAAACATTCAAATTATTAATTGAGTATCTTGAAATCAGTTATGACAAACCTTCAAATCCGAAAGGGGTATGTTTAATGTATCAACAAATATTTATTAACAAAACTAAATCCAAAAAGAATAAAACGGGTTGATTGGAAATTTTATAAATATTGATTTGACAAAGTTTTTTTTAAAGAGTAATATTTTATAAAATACTTAATTTTTTCCGAACATGATAACTCCCGTTATATAAACTTAATCGTCATTTAAGAGACTTAAACCGTAATTTAAAGTGACCCTTCATTAAGGTTTCCTGCAGCGAAAAAGAAAAATCGTTTCGCGAAAATATTTTTTCGCAACCATTTCGCTTCATTTTCGCATTTCGTTCGCTCGGAGAATAGAAAATGCGAAAATTTCGCGATAAAACTAATGCGAAGATAGCTGGTGAAATCAAATTCTCTTCATCAAACATGTATTAAAGTGGAGTAAGATAAATTATTCATATGACATAATAAAACTTATTGAGCAGAGAATTCCACAAGTTCTTTGGAGCATTTAATTGTTGCTGCTATAAAACTCATGGTTTTCACAAAATTTTCGCATTTCGCGAAAACAATTTTGCATTTTCCCGAAATGTTTGTATTACGCATTTTCGCTTCAATCATTTTCGCGAAAAAATATGAAAATATCTTTAAAAAAATTACGAAATGAGACCGAAAATTTTAGAATTTTTTCGCGAAACGTTTCATTCGCTGGAAACCCACCATTCATGCACAGATGGCAATGTCAGATTTGCAACGGTACCCTAAAAAAGCTTTGTCAAGTATGAAATAATTATTCATTTTTTATTTTTTTTTACTGTTTATTTTACATGAGGGGTTCTTGGAAAAATGACATGCACATTTCTTGCTTATAAGGAACAATGGAAAAACGATGTTATCTTTAACATTTTTATCAGATTAATATTTTAAGGACACCTTTGTAAATCAGGAATTGCCGTCTTAGCTTGAAGGGTCAATACAAATTAGACTTACAGTCCCTTTGATGGCCTCCGATCCACCGGAGGAGACTGAATATGCTGCTGCAAACTACAACCTCTCGATATCAAAGAGGAATTAAATGAGAACTGAGGTTTGCCTAGGATGAAGATCAATGCTTAATTCCGAGATTCTTTATTAGCTGTAACATGAAGTTACGTAAACAAACTTTACTCCATGATGTTTACCTATTTACAGCACACAAGTTCTTTATTAGCTGTAACATGGAAGTTACGTAAACAAACTTTACTCCATTATGTTTACCTATTCACAACACAAGTTCTTTATTAGCTGTAACATAGAAGTAACGTAAACAAACTTTACTCCATTATGTTTACCTATTCACAACACAAGTTCTTTATTAGCTGTAACATGGAAGTTTTGCAAACAAACTTTACTCCATGATGTTTACCTATTGGTTGTTTCTTTCCATCTATCTCAATATCAGTCCCAACCAAGGTCCTAGATATTCAAAATTTATCTTTTATCTAGTGGGGGGGGGCGAGATATCAAAATTTAACAAGGACTTTTTTGTAACACAGACAAAAGCATAATATATTAAATTATGTTTATTTAAAAAAAGAACCAATAAACATCAGAATTTCCGTGTTCATGGATAAAGGAGTAGTTGTTTAACAAAGAATAAATTTTTTCAAATTTTTAAACGTTCATACCTTCCACATTTCCAGCACCCGTTCACCTTCCCTTCCCCACATCATGTTCCTTCCCCCACCCTCACCTTCCCTTCCTTACCTCACCTTCCTTGCCCATTCCTTCACCTTCCCTTCCCAACCTCACTTTCCTCCTTCACCCTCTCACATCCCTTCCTCACCACAAGTCCCTTCCTCCACCCTCACCTTCACTTCCTTACCTCACCTTCTTCCTTCACCCCCTAATTACCCCTTTCTCACCTCACCTTCCTTGCCCACCCCTTCACCTTCCCTTACCCACATCACCTTCCTCCTTCGCCCATTTACCAGCCCTTCCCCACTTCACCTTTCTTGTGCACCACTTCACCTTCTCTTCATCACCTCACCTTCCTCCTTCACCCCTTCACCCCTTCACCAGCCCTTCCCAACCTTACCTTCCTTGCCCACCCCTTCACCTTCTCTTTCTCACCTCACCTTCCTCTCTCACCCCTTCACCAGCCCTTCCCAACCTCACCTTCCTTGCCCACCCCTTCACCTTCTCTTCCTCACCTCACCTTCCTCCTTCATCCCCTCACCAGCCCTTCCCCACCTCACCTTCCTCCTTCACCCCTTCACCAGCCCTTCCCAACCCCACCTTCCTTGCCCACCCCTTCACCTTCTCTTCTCCACCTCACCTTCCTCTCTCACCACTTTACCAGCCCTTCTCAACTTCACCTTCCTTGCCAACCCCTTCACCTTTTTTTCTCACCTCTCCTTCCTCCTTCAACCTCTCACCAACACTTCCCCACCTTACCTTCCTTGTCCACCCCTTCACCTTCTCTTTCCTACTTCAACTTCCTTTTAGCCTTTTATCCTTTCCCACCTCATGTTTCTTCCCCTTTGACTTCCCGCCTCTCCCGCCTTAACTTCCGTTCCCCATCTCACGTTCCTTACCCACCTCTCGTTCTTTCTTCACCTCACGTTCCTTCTCCACCTCACGTTCCTTCTCCACCTCACGTTCCTTAACCACCCCCTTATCTACCCTTTCCATCCTCAAATTCCTTCCCCTCCACTTCACCTTTTCTTCCCCGCCTCACCTTTATCCCTCACGCTTTCACCTACCCTTTCCCATGTGACGTTCCTGCCCCACACCTTCCCCAATCCCAACATATTTGTTTATCTTGATATTTGATCAGATATTTACAGTGTGAGAATTCTTCTCAATAATAAACAGAAATTTTGGTAAATATTTAGTAAATTTGGACTTTCAGGAATCGCTAGAGAAGGTTTCAAAAAATTTTATGGAAATACGATTGCTTACATCTTTTTTTAATTTTAATTTTATCTTATAATCTAGTTTTTTTTACTTCAGTATCCTTATTTTCACTTGGATCAATTTATTTTTATCCCTAAAAAGGCTGGGGGGGATCTCTAGTTATACCTGAAAATGCCTACATCTAGTTTCACAATACTCTGTAGTTCTCTAGCAATTAAACCTCCATCAACATGATCTAAAGTTTACAAGCGGTTAAAAAATAGTTACACTACTTAAAGGGACAATTCAAAAGTAATATCACGTTACCTGCAATGCAAAGACGGGAATTTCTGATTCACAATTACACTTTAAAGCTTTGACTTATTAAGTCTAATTAGATATTATTTTTTTTAATTTTAAAAACTGGTTATGGTTTATTATGGTTTCTCTACAAAAGTGACTTGCGCATTTCATTACAGGAAATCATTGATTCTTTTCCTAGAAAAAACGAAAAAAATTTTCACAATATGAAAGTTTTCAAGAATCCAGGGTACCATTGTGAATCTTGTTTGACCATCTTTGCATATGCACTATCTGCACAGTGCACATTTTAAGGCCAAAATTAAAAGAGGGGTCAAATCAGCCCCCGCCCGTAAAAGTTAACAACAACAACAACAACAACATGATGTGTGCAAGTTCGGCTTATTTAATTTCATTCGTTCATCGTTCGTGGACGATTTATTTCGTTCGTTTTTTTCAATCGTCCAGTAAAAAGTTGATTTCGTTTGTTTAGAAATTTGTTCTGTATTTGCCATTTCTTTTTTTCGTTTATCAGTAAAAGATCGTTTTTTTAAATCACTCGTTCATTAAAAAAAGTTGTCTCTAAAAATATTTAGGAAAAAATCGTTCGTTTAGTAAAAAAACGATATTTAAAAAAAGTTTGTTCGGAAATTAGTTGTTTTAAAAAACCAAACGTGTTTCAATATCCTTTGGAAAATTCGTTCGTTCAGTAAATAACGGTTTTTCAAGTTTGTTATTTTTTTTTCTTAACGACTCCATCGCGCTGGACAACATATTTCGTTTGTTCTCAAAAATTTCGTTAGTTCACGAGAACGATGCCCTTTGTACTTTTTATGTAAGATTTCGAAGGTTTTATTATCTGTAAGGTATATTTATATAACTTCTTTGTACTGGAATAGCAGAATCATTTCCAAGTTTTCTTCAGTTTTTGAAAACTTGATTTTTCTATTTCCGGTAATATCCTATACAGCCTACCTGCCGCATAACAGCCCAGGAAGTCTATTCTTCCGTTTCCCTCGAGCATGCATTCTCTTAAATTAGATTATGTAAACATTTTTAATATCAAAGGGATTGTTCTCAAAAATTAACAGGAACTACATTGAAAAAATAAATCATAAATCGCGAATGACCTCACAAAATCGATTTGTAGCAGCACGCTCAATAAGATACGCTTACCCTCACCCCTTTTTGACTTTTATTGAATTTTTTTTAATATGATGTCATTTGCAGGTAGAAAGATCTCCCGAGTGCCATGAGGCAATTTTGAACAGACATATATTTACTGTTGAAATATCTCAAAACATGTTCGTTAAAGGAAACAACATTCATTAAAAAGGAGACAGCTATTATTTTACCCCACAGAGTGTGCGGTATATCTTAATGGAATTTAGATATATCTATCAGAGCAAGAGCGTTTATTTGCAGTTTTGTATAAGTTCTCTGTAAATGATTAAAAAAAACGTTTTCAGTTTATTCTTCATTCTTCAGTACCCTGTTCCACCTAATATTCATTTTGAACTCTAATTTAAAAAGCATTTTATGGTTTTAATATTTGAAAGCGAATCCTTGCATATTTCTTTTCTTTGCATTTTTAATTTAAATTTCAAATAATTGCTTGAATAATTCTATGGAAAAAAATGTTAGTTAATTTCATGAATTTCTTTAATTATATACTGCAGTGCACATTATTTTGTACATCAAAAAACAAATATTAACTCTAAACATTAGTTTTTTTCCTAGCACTCTCATTTTCGACACTATCACCGTGAAATTTTGTGACTTTTAATGAATAGGATTTTTTGTTAAGAAAATATTTTTTATTAATTTATAGGGTAGGGTACTGGGCAAAATAAAAGTCCGGTCTGTGAAAAAAAAAATCTAAAATAGCCCATATTTTTTTTGTCAATAAAGCTAAAAACTATATTTTTGAAAAGCCCTTGAAAAATGAATGTAGAAACATATGTCACATTTTGATATTTGTTTCAAACAAAAAAAATATTTTTTTCATTTTGTTTACCCTTTTTAAGGCATTTTTTCCACCGTCCCTAGCACCCAAACTATTAAAGTTTCGGTTTATTTTTTTTTATTTCAGCTGGCCTTGAAAAATTGGGCTATGAACATATATTTAAACCATATGCCTATTCTATAAGACCTTTTTCTATGGGGGGGCGCCAAACGCCCCCCCCCAGGCTATACTTAGATTCAGACCCCCCCAACCTTTATAGGTTTAACATGCTGACTTTTAAAATATCATTTAAAGATTTAAATAATCCGTTTTTTAAAATCATTCAATCAACAACCAGGAAAATAAAATCAAAAAATTTCAGTAAACTCATAAGATGTTTAGGAACATGTTGAGAAAATAAAATTTAACTCATCTCATCAACAATAAGTAATTTTTTTCGTAGATTTCCTGAAATTTTATTTGAAAAGACGACAATTGGAAGAAATCAGCGAACAAATTCATAAAGAATAAGAAATATAATATAATCATGAAAAAGAAATAATTTTTACATCGATTTATTGATTTTCTATAGAGAAATATGTTCCTAAACAACAAATTAGTTAATTGTAGAATGTTTGCAACATTTTTTATCGTTGCTCTTTAATAGTTTTTAAAACTCCGATTCTCAAAATCATCCCTCTAGAATGGACAATTCAGGAAGATCTTAGAAATTGAAAATTTGCGCTTTTACTGAACAAATATGCATGGTAAAAACGTCCCATAGGTTTCAAATGAATCATAAAAAATGTCTCTCCAATAATGCATCCTTAGCTCAACTACCATTTTAAAATCCATTTTAAATGACTATTTTTGATTTTTATCAAATATTTTATCTATATTTTTTTTAATTGAAACGGGTTCAATTTTAAATACTTTAAACCTTATGTTGTACACACAGTCCAAAAATAACGTGCAACATTATACATAGATAAAATGTAAAGAAAGTTTAGAGTTTGAAAGGGATTTGTCTGTAAAGTATACTGAAGTGAGAACCAGAAAACTATGGACAAGTAAGACGACTTTTAGACTCAGGTTATGGAACAGTCCAAAGAACATGAGTCACAGACACATTTCACCGAATTAGTGTCGCAAATTAACTTTATATGCTTTGAACAACATCAAGTATACTCAAGTATTGCATTAATGTCGTCTTCCTATTCCAAAGTTTTATGGTTCTCTCTGTACCTGACCAGAGCTGTAAAGAAATCCCTGATATTTTTGTCTGAGACTAAGGTCTGAAGATTTATCCTTTTTGATCCAATATCACAGAGATACAGATCCTGGTTGAAAAATTCCTCCCAAATATCCTCCAAATTATATAATTCATAATTATATTTAACCAAAGATACTCCAGGAAGAAGAGATCCTAAAAATATTTACATTTGAACGTTGAAAACTGTATTGGCCATATTCTGGATATTCTAAAAAGAAGTCGACTGCGTTGAGTTCACATTATAAGCTAGCGTACACTCCAATGCCTCTGCAATTTGAACACTATGATAAACACATGAAGATCTCTTAATCAACGGATTAAAGGGTGCCGTTGTAAATCGGACATTCCCCAGAGTGCAGAGGGAGAGTCACTTATAATCATGCAAACAGTCCCTTTAATGCATATTTATAGATTTTTTGGTTGCGAGGAAATGGATTCACAGTATTTTCTCTTTCGAAATTATGGAATAGAATAAAAAATGGTATTTGGTCAACTGCTTGTCAAATTGTGCATCAACTAGAGATTGGTTCCTTTATTTTTTTTCATTTCTTCGTTCATAGTTCGTAAACCACCCATTTTGTCCGTTTTCTTTAAATTGTTCAAAAGATTTATTTTGTTCGTTCATAAAATTATTGTTCGTTCACAAATGAGATACCCATCTCTAGCATCATCCCATAAAGTTAAGCACACTCCCTTTAATATTTACGCATTATGAAATTACAAGCTAAACTTAATGTTTTCATGAAGAAAAAAAAATTTATCGGAAGATTTTATTGAAGCCTCAAATTCATTCTTTCCCCTTCAAAATATCAAATATAATTGGATCTAAGTGACAGCAACTTTTGAACATAATTGAAGATGTTGACATAAATTTTATGTTTCCCTAATAAAAGATCATTTTTACAAATATATAAATAATAATTTCGAAATTAGAAGAAAAAAATAACCAACAAGCAGCAATAACTGTTCATTTCAAATTAATATAAAACATTCTAAAATTAAATTTTTTTAAAAGGATTTTTCAAGAAATGTGTCAGTGCAAGCATTTAAAAAAATCATAAATCAATAAGGCAGTCCCTTTAAAAATTTGAAGTTTTTAAGGGTAGTTTTGTTTAGAAAAAAAAACCTGTAGCTACAGCAGCTTTCCTTGCTCTACTGGAGACAACCAGAAGCCTGTTAATCTCTCCCATTTTTCATCTGAAATTTTTTGCCTTCAATACATTTTTTATCCGAATAATATTTTTATCTAAAGTATATATTTTTATCTGTAATATATTTTTTGTAATCATAAAATCCAATTTTTTGACGAATGTGGAGGGGGCAGTGAGTAGGATCAAAGGTATCCTGTCAAACTGAGTTTTTACCCATATATATAGTACTGAAGTTTTTGTGTGAAAAAAGGGCACATCAGTTCACAAACATACCGTTTACACCTTTGACTTATTCAAAATGATAAGGTTAAGCCTTTTTACATTTAGTTGGTATACGTCAATTCCTAAATCTTTGATTTTTACATTTAGTTGGTATACGTCAATTCCTAAATCTTTGATTTTACATTTAGTTGGTATACGTCAATTCCTAAATCTTCGATTTTTACATTTAGTTGGTATACGTCAATTCCTTAATCTTTGATTTTTACATTTAGTTGGAATACGTCAATTCCTAAATCTTTGATTTTACATTTAGTTGGTATACGTCAATTCCTAAATCTTTGATTTTTACATTTAGTTGGTATACGTCAATTTCTAAATCTTTGATTTTTACATTTAGTTGGTATACGTCAATTCCTAAATCTTTGAATTTTACATTTAGTTGATATACGTCAATTCCTAAATCTTTGATATTAAATTTAGTTGGTATACGTCAATTCCTAAATCTTTGATTTTTACATTTAGTTGGTATACGTCAATTCCTAAATCTTTGATTTTTACATTTTGTTGGTATACGTCAATTCCTAAATCTTTGATTTTTACATTTAGTTGGTATACGTCAGTTCCTACATCTTTGATTTTTACATTTTGTTGGTATACGTCGATTCCTAAATCTTTGGATTTTACATTTAGTTGGTATACGTTAATTCCTAAATCTTTGATTTTTACATTTAGTTGGTATGCGTCAATTTCTAAATCTTTGATTTTACATTTAGTTGGTATAAATTCCTAAATATTTGATTTTTATGTTTAGCACGTTGGTAGACGTCAATTCCTAAATCTTTGATTTTTACATTTTGTTGGTATACGTCGATTCCTAAATCTTAGATTTTTACATTTAGTTGGTATACGTTAATTCCTAAATCTTTGATTTTTACATTTAGTTGGTATGCTTCAATTTCTAAATCTTTGATTTTACATTTAGTTGGTATAAATTTCTAAATCTTTGATTTTTATATTTAGTACGTTGGTAGACGTCAATTCCTAAATCTTTGATTTTTACATTTTGTTTGTATACGTCAGTTCCTAAATCTTTGATTTTTACATTTTGTTGGTAGACAACATTTCCTAAATCTTCGATTTTTGCACTTATGTACTCTTTCAGTTCTCTGGCAAAATTAATCTCATTTATTTTCTTCATGAAGCTGTTTTCTGTAGAAAAACACATTACGATTATATATCTAATTAAATTAGTAATGAAAGAGTAATGTTTTCTTTATCACTAATGCATACCACTTTAAAAATCTGTATAATTTTTAAAGTGTTTATGTAAAAGAAAGATCATCCTTTATCATTGATTTCTTTTTTTAAGTAATTGGGGGACTTGAACTTTTTTAGGTTATGCACCACATCAACGAAAACCAAATAGTTTATCAAGTATAATAAATGGTAACAGAGAAATGGACAAATTATACGAGACGTCACAAGTGTCAAATATAACAAGGAAAAACAAATTTTCTCACACCAGTTGACATGTTTTTCAAGCTTAAATAAAAAAGTGTAAAAACAAGAAAAAGAGAAGAAAAATTTGCACTTTTTTACCAGTAAAATAAGCACTTTATTCTAAAATTATCACACATTCTCCGTTGCCATCTATTTGAAGGAAAACAATAGTGCAGCTTTTCAGATAAATATTTTGTAATTATTCTCACGCCATATTAGTCTTCTCCTGTGTGGGTAATTTTTTCATGTATGAATGTATAACAACACAAAGAACTTTATGCTAAGTCGGAATATTTAACGTTTTAAAAAATTCTTAAGAAAACACTCTCTATGATTAATATCGCAAATTATACAATGAATGATATCTTAATGTAATACATGTAAAGCATTAAGAATGTTTGTGTCAAAGAACGGTACAAGGCCAGGGGTTTCCATTCCTCCAAATTATATAATTCATAATTATATTTAACCAAAGATACTCCAGGAAGAAGTGATCCTAAAAATATTTACATTTGAACAGTTGAAAACTGCGTTAGCCATATTTTGGATATTCTAAAAAAATGTGTAAAGTCGGCTGCGTTGAGTTCACACCAGGTAGTAAGGAATAGAAGGGAGATATAACTGACACGGTTCGCCCTACCATATGATTATACATGCTTTGCAGACGGTACTACATTTGAATATGAAATATTAGTCTGATGTACACTTACGGCGTATACAATAACCTATTCTGAATATTTCATATACAAATGGAGTACCCGTCAGCAAAGCATGTATAATCATATGGTAGGGCGAACCGCGTCAGTTACATCTCCCTTCTATTCCTTACTACCTGGTTCACACTGTAAGCTAGCGTACACACCAGTTTTTCTGCAATTTGAACACTATTTAAGAGATAAACACATGAAGGTCTCTTAGTCAACGGTTTAAAGAGTACCGTTGTAAATCGGACATTCCCCCTGTTTGCAGAGGGAGAGTCACTTATATAATTACGCAGCCCCTTTAATGCTTAGATATAGATATTGGTTGCAAGGAAATGGATTCACAGTATTTTCTCTTTCGAAATTATGGAATAGAATAAAAAATGGTATTTGGTCAATAATTTGTTATTTTTTGCAAAGGAATGTCATTTACACTCAGACAAATTAGAATCAATGGAAATTTAAACCCCCGAGGGATTCAATGATAATCCCGAGCCCTTGTCCGAGAGTAAATGATACATTTTTGAATAACTTGTAGTTTAAAGCACAAACTTTAAAATTGATTCATTTAAAAAAAATTGTTCAAAAAAATAAAGTTTAAAAACTATAAATAGATCTAAATTTTATTTTCAAAATTTTTCAATCCTTTATTGTTTCATCTAATAATAAAAAAGAAAAATATATAGGTATTTTCTAAAAGCATAAGATCACGTTTAAATCGAAATAACTGTTACAGTACACCACCAATACCAAAAGATTTTCCCATTGCAAAATTTTTCTTTTGTACTATTTTTCTTATAGTCTTTACTATGCACATTTACTCGCGGCCTATAAGATGGATTTTAATTAGAGCTGGGCACTTTCAAACTTTTCGTTTGGTTAACGGTTTGTTTCAATCGTAAACTGTATTTTCTGTTTTTTTTAAGTTATGCATTAGTTAACTATTTCAATTTTTATTATCAGCGTTAATGGAAGATATTCCGCCGTTAAGAATCGTTTTCTTGCAATTAAGAGCTTCAGCCGTTCAGAAAATATTTCAGTGACGTTTTGTCAAATCAACAGTGCAAACCGTTAACGTTTATTTGTAGATTAACGGCTAATCTGTTTTGTTAACAATTAAAGAATAAACGGGTGTAGTTTGGTAACGAACTCTTCCGTTAATTTTCGAAAAACTCCGTATCGTTAACAGAACTTGGGTCATCCCTAGTAATATGAGAAAATAACAATGTGTACTTTATTGAATTTTAACTGTGAATCAACGATATATCCTTATATATACTTTGCTAGCTTCTCTAGGCGTCTGTTTGTTTGTTTGTATATGATAAATTGCATTACAGCTGAACAGATCGGGCCCAAACTTTGTATTTAACCTCATAGTCACATGGCCCCAGGGAACGTTTATGGAACATCAAAATTGGAGAAAAAATTTAGGGATTTTATTTTGAAAATGCACCAATTCTAAAAGAAAAATCCGCCAACATTTGTAAAT